CCACAACACGAGCCATACGTTTAGCCTGCTCTTGTATTTGCTGCAGTTTCTGCTGCTGGCGAGCCTCCTCCTCTGTCGCCAGCAAATCATCCGTGAGTCCTGCCTCCTCAGCCTTTGCCTTTAACAAAGCTGCCTCTGCCTCTGCGCGTTCGCACTTCATCTGGTGGTCTAGCTCGCCAGCCTTTTGGAGAATCCTTTGGTGGTACGCAAGACAAATCGCACGAGCCTGCAGGCATACGAACATGCGTGCTGTACACGTAACGCTCCAGCAACCGGCGAAAAGACAACTGCGTGCCGACGGCTTTGCAAGGTCTACAAATATGAACAGCAAAAAAGAAGGCCAACTGTAAAGACCCAACTGCCTTTAAGCGCTGCATACCCTGAACAGAGGAACCTTCTGCAGAATAGACTCCCAGTACGCTGTGTCCACGTCCTCCTCTGTCTCCAATTTCAGCTTGATACCTTCCTTCAGGGCATCCAATTCCTCTGGCGATTTCCCGCTAAGGATGGCGGTGATATCCGAGGTTACTCCTACAGCAATTCCAGAGTCCGCATCCCTCACGTCTCCCACTGAAGTATTATTCGCCAAGATAGCGGCAGCTTGCGCTGCAGCGTCCGCGGACGAATTATTCCTCAGTTCTTCCAGCACCTTTTGCTTTCTTTCAGCACGCTCAAGCGCATCTTTGGTCAGCACTAACAAAGCTTGCCAAAAATCCTGGTAGTCCTTATCTACCGCCGTTGTATCTACTCCAATGTGAAGCTTCACATCGGACAGCATCTCCTCTATCATTTGGACAGTCATGGCTGCATCAGCAGCAAACAGAAACAACAAAGCCCGGCAACGCGGCTCACCAGAATACAAGCAGACGGCAGACACATATGCTAGTAATACACTCCGGACAACTGCAGTGTGCGAAACAGAAGAAGAGAGCTTGAGCTGCGCCACCTCTGCCTTACGTTCCTTGTTGAAGCAATCGAAGACCTCATGGGGCGGCACCGGTAGCACTGAGACCTTTTCAAATCGCTCCCCGTTAAGCATACGCAGACCCTTTACAATAAAATCTATGGGTTGCTCTCTATTCTGTTCGGCTCTTATTTCGGTTTTCTTCATGTGCATTTGCCGGTGAAAGACTTCTTCTTTCTCGAAGTAGTCCTGAAAGTGCTCTCTCTCCTTCTCACGCTGCAGCTCCTCCCGCTGTGCCTGCATTAACTGCTCCTCCGCTTCCCTTTCTTCCCTGCGCTTCTTCACACTCTTAATTTCTTGCTGCAAACAGCGTATAACGGATTTTCAAAGGTGCCTGCTAGAGGCCACTGCAGCCCCGGAACGGGGACCATCTAGGCAAACGCTCGTACAAAACACACATGAATGTGCATCTATAGGTATGCGCCTGAATATACGAATGAAATAAGCAGCTTGCACACGTGGTGGCAAATACATCGACACATGTAAAAACGTAGAGACACACGTACATGAAATCACGTGCTTTATTTATTTGACCTCGCTCTGATGCCTACGCGCAACCTACCACTTTGCTGACGGATGTCGTGAGTAGGGCATTGACTGTCGTTGCGTGTTTCTTTCCTGCTGCCTGCAGCAGCAGATTCTTCTTTTTCCAAACGAAGGGTTCAGCCAGAAGCCGGTCACCAAACGGGTTATTGTCGTTACTGTAACCGAAATGTTCGCTCAGGAGTTTCTTCCGTTCTGCCTGAGAGGGCAGAGAGCAACAACAACCATACGATGCAATCGGCATGAGCTCAGAGCACCGCCTGCAAGTCCCAGCGACAGATGCAATTTTAGTGGACTGAAGTTGCCCTGGAACAGGCCCCAAAAGTTCTGACACGCTTAGTCAGATGCGCACCCTCAATTCCTGAACAGTAACGGGCTTCACAGGACGAGCAGCTGCGACGCTCCCTGGCTGGCTCGTCCCTCTGCAGATACACAGAAGCTCGAAAAAACTACCTGGACGTAAAACTGATGCAACAAGACGATCTGAAGTGTATACGCAGACGCACGAAGGACCTCTGAGTTATTACCACTGAGGCGAAACTAGGAACAAACGCCGCACCCGTACTTGGCATTTGGTCCCTCAGACGAGTTAGGAGGCGCCCGCCGGTCCTCCCTTTCGCTAGAGGAGCTCCTGCGGCGTCGCTTCGCCATCTTCGTAGGTTTATTTTGCTACTTCAGACTCCCTAAAGCCACTGAAGGGTCTGCATACGTTCATGCATGAACGTCGTCCCAGCCACTGGGTGCCTCAAGCAACTATGCAGGAGCAAAAGGCAAAGCCGACGCGCTGCGAGTATGGCCGGCATAAAAAGAATGTACAGGAATCCTTGCTTTGCTCTGCCCGAATGAGATCAGGGAAAGCAGGAGACGCAAAGGAGCTCCGAGCCCTGGCGGGTCAGGATCTCGCGGGATGCAAGTGTAGCAGCGTGCAGCGTCCTGTTCGGAATCCGAAGGCTTCAACAACTTACGAAAAGAGTCGAAAGACAGAAAGTAACCGCTATCCACCACATCTGATGGTGAGCAAACATATGCTTAACAGTGGGCAGCCAGCCCTTCTCTCAACAGCAGCCTTCGCCCGCACCGTGCATGCTTCGCGCTATTGTCCATAGTCTTGTGGGGACTGGATATATAACGCCGATACAAATTCGTGCATATACTGAACTGGAAACTTCTAGCCTTCAAAAAGATACAGGAAGAGATACAGCGCAATACTTTTGCGGAAGAGGCCGTTTGAATTTGGATGCCGAGCCGGACCTATATCCACTCCGTCCCTAGGTTTGGGTCACCTCCACTAATTCTGCCAGCCATTGATGTCTTTGTCAATCATGTTCACTTTGCGGGCACGCCGCCTAGGAACTGCTGCATATGAAGGAGCATTTCAGCCACTATAGTCGGCTACTAGTAGAGAGCCACAGTAGAGCTGAAATCCCTACAAAACTGCTTTTCTTCGTTAGTAGATTGGTTCCTCTACTGGTGTGACTAAACTTAAGTGCACGCAACCCCTAACCAGCCCTGTTAACGCGCCAGACTTGCAGGATACAGCTTTGGAACCCGTAAGTCCTTCAGAGCAGCGTTTTCACCGGCAGGATAGTCCACTGCAGAAACAATAGTCCATGGCCCTTAGGGCCTCGCCTTGGAACCCAGCGCCATCGACGGCCACAGCGCCAATTTGCGCAAGACCCTACGTCGGTCCATAGAGCCTGGATATAACTTCGTTCTTCTATGCAAGAGTCCCACTGCTCCACGCTCAACTGATGAGGCTATTTTTTCTCTTTTGTATCCACTAAGAGCAGGGCAGCTACATTCGCCTTCATCATTACCTTCCACTACTGTCCGCCTTCTTGTTTAAAAACAAATACATAGCGCCATTATTGTGTTTAAGCTCTCCAAGAAGGCCCGCTCCCAACTTATTGTTCTCGGCGCCACTGCCGCCGCAAGCCAAACTGTCCGCCCGCAAGAGAGGCTCCCCAGGAGAGTCGCCCGCCTCAAAGGGTTGCGGGGAAGCAGCACCAGATGCGCAGCAAGTGTTACTTGCCACAGATGTTCTTATCTGTGCACCTAGCGTAGTGATGCCGCAACAGTGGATATGATGGGTTCGATGAACCGCACTGCTCAGAGTTAACAAGCTCGTGCGTGTCCGACCCACGTAACCGCCGTAGCTTTTCAGTGCTTCGACAGAGATTAGCTACGCTCATCCTTACTGGAATCTGCGGGGTCGCATTCCTTGCTGATCCTCGCAGAATCAAGACACAGGCAGTCGGCGAGGGCTGGCTCGACGGCTTGGTCTCTGATGAGGTGGGGGGATCGCAACGAGCCCCTAGCCAAAACAATTAACAAGCTAACTGCAGTGAGCTCGCAACGGCGTCTCAGAGCTTTTTATATGGCGTCAGTACCAGCGCGGCGTTATGACCACCGAATCCCAAGGTGTCAGTCAGAACCGCCTGCAGCAGACGGAGGGACACAGAGTTGCCCCGTTAAACAAACGTGAGGACAAGAGGCAAGCAGCCACGTATGTTGGGGCCAACAGCAGCCTTCACAAGGAACTCACTTTCAGGGGCTCATCCAGGTGAACAGCCTTGTTCGGCACATAGTTCAAATCACATTCTGGGTCAGGCGTGCTGTAATTCAGCGTCGCTGGCACGTCTCCCGTCTGCAGTACCTTGGCAGCTACGACAGTCTCTATCCCGGCAGTGCCACCCAAGCAGTGACCTGTCATCGGCTGAAAGGAACAGAAGTAGCAAAGCACGAGCAGCATTACCAGTTGTCCCTCCACGCGAAAACAAGTGACAAATGTCGTGTTAGCGAAAGTTTTCCAGTTGCAGCCACTTCCCATCTTTCGCTACAGCTGCATGACGCGAAAAACCGGCATCAAGCAACTTTAGCGCCAAAAACCATATCCCTAACAACCGCATCGTGTCTTGGCGTCTGTTACTGTTTCTTACCTTAGTTGAAGATATAAGCAGCTTTGTTGCATGCGGCCCAAACACCTTCTTTATAGCCTTTGTCTCTATCTTATCGTTGTAAAACGTTGATGTACCATGGGCGTTTATATACCCTACGTCATCGGGAGCGACTCCCCTGCACAAGCAGCAGCCACCCAAGGACTCTTGTGATACTGCTGTAGCTATTCACGTTGAAGCTGTTTGTGCTTTCAATGTTTTCGTGCCACAGACTACAGAAACCCACATATCTTTTGCTGCATGACAGCAACGACGAGCGCCAACCTTAAACCCATAAATGAGGCTGTGCAGTGAGTTCGGGTCACAGTGCCGTTGCTGTTGCTTACGCGTCTTTCAGTGCTATTTCCATGCAACGAGCAAGACCATCTCCCTCAGGTGATGGAGCCGTTACATGGTGGGCGTCACAGGTAGCCCCATAGCCCGCTAGTTGCCCGTACACGTGTGGGGCTCCACGTCGCACTGCATGCTCCTCCGTCTCCAACACAATTACACTGAAGCCACAATAACAAGCACGACAGGCATCGTCGCACAACAAGTTAGGCCCCTGCTGCAGCTTCCAGCAACGCAAAGAGCAACAGCACTACAAGTTGTTCCAACCCTGTTGCAGCACTAACGTGGACAGCGCCCACAGCTGAAGCACCGTACCCTGCGCCTTCTCCCATTACAAATCCGGATCGATTTTTGTCGAAAGGCCTGCATGCTTCTTTTGGTCTGTCGTTGAAGCCCAGCGCGAGGGCCTTCAAGGCGTTGAAGCCCGCAAACGAGAGGGGGGTTATTGAAGCTTCAGCGCCACCACACAGGACAATGTCAGCATCACCAGACTGCAGCGTATGCGCAAAGCGGAATGATAAAAGCCACCTCATACACTCACTGTGCTGTTTGCATCCGCCACATTCTGCATCCCCTATTCCCCCCGCCTTCGCGGCAGCCTCAAGGGGCTTCAAGGGACTCTCTGCGGCCTTTTAATCCATCCTTGCCCTGCATCCCTTCACCACACCTGGAGAAGCCTCATTGCGGTGCCTATGGCGTGTCCAGATGTGGCACAAGCAGATACAGCACCGTGGTTGGGTCCCTTGGCTCCTATTTCAATGGCTACCTGGGCAGGTGCGGTATTCTGCGCAAAAATATTCCCTCAACAAGCCAACATGTTTGTAATGTCTGTCTTCATCAGTAGTGTTCATGCCATCAGTTATCTCGAACACCTCTTGAACCCCTTCATAAGTCTCAAATTTTACACAGTTACAAGAGACCAGGAGTATCCATACTAAAAGCAACCGCGTCAGCACAGCTAACGGGAACAGCAGCAGCACCTGTAGCAGTAGAGATAAATCTTACTGCAATCATGGCAGGAATGAGGTAAGGGGACACACGGCGGGGCCCCGAGTTGAGTAGGACTCTATTTTGCTGCTCCATGAAGCCTAGGCCCCCAATGCCGGAGCCGATGACAACCCCAAAACGCTCCATATCGATACCGTCCAGAGAGCCAAGACCTGGCAGATCAGCAGCAGCAGCCGCACTTGTGTACTTGCGCAGAACAAAGGCGCCTTGATGACTCACAGAGTGGCCCGTATGTACCAACTCCTAACTAGGAGCTCCAATAAGTGAAATTAGCCATCCACCAGTGCACCTCTTGTGATTACTCCACAGTGCGTGGTTAGACGCAGCAGCAGGCAAAAACACTGTTGCAAAGAGCGAGGCACGAAAACGCGAGTAGATGGGAGGAGCGACACGCAGGAGGCACTTAAGTGAGCGTGTTTGGATGGTAATGGGCAAAGACCCAAAAGAAAAAGAAGAGCCAGCAAGCCACGCAGAGGAGATTCACTAAATAAGCTTGTGAGAACTCGTACGCAACTGCAGCACTCGTCAACTTTCCCCGCAACCGCTGAAGCTACTCTACTTGCTACGGTGTGCCGGTCTCAGTTGACATCATTACTGTGTCAGTTTGTTTGTCTTTCGCTGCAACGTACCCGCGTCTTCCATAGCGAACTTGCTGGCAGCAACAGCGAATTGGGTGTATCTGTCGTTCCGTTTGGCGTCTTTAGGCTCTCTAAAGTACTGTTTAGGGTCGAAAGCATCGGATGATATCTCGTAGGCCACTGGAGACAGGCGACAAGAGCACAAGCCACAAAACAGACAATGAAAAAAAGACTCAAGGACGGTGTTGGATGACAAGTCAACAGGCAAAGCACAAACTGCCTCATACTGCGCACCCTTTGCAGAGCCGCAAACACACTCCCAGTGCGCACTAGAGCAATACCTGCCGCCATCCACCGCCTGCGTATGCTCTCTGCATGCGATGTACACATGCAACAGCAAAAGAGTGTATGCTGGCGTACCTTGGCTGGCCATGTCTTTGGCGTCGAACGCGGAAACTTTGGCGGCGTTGTTAACCCCCTTGAGCAAATTATTCCAGAAGGTCTCAACACCAATTCCAGCAGCGCTCACCACGCCCAAGCCCGTGCACAATATGCGCGGACGGCGAGAGCCATCCTGAAACAAATACGCGCAAGGCTCTGCCGCTACGTCTGCTGCAATTGCTTCTGCCGATGCTTAGTGCAAGTAGGCTTGACAGCGCTGTATGCTGCTGGGGAGGATGCACGTGGCCGCACCTGGGACTGCGCAAACAGACGGCTGCTGCGGGGGGCTCTAGCCCTTAGGAAGTCTGCAGAGGATCCCCGTTGCTGCTGTGGCTGCTGCTGCTGTAGTGAGGCAGATGCCTGAGAGCTTCCCGGCGTTGCCGCATGGATGCCATGCGGGCGAGAGATAAAAGCAGGTACAGGCAGAGGGCCGACGTTCTGAAGCGAGAGACACACCAATATAGATCACACGGTGCCAGCGCACGTCCCGTTGATTGCAACTCATTATTAACAAGTTAGAACGCTTCACTCTTGAACGCGCTCTGTGAAGCCACTCAAGGAGCCTCACCTTTGCCGCTGACGAGGGCGTAGAGAGCTGCGAAGCGTCTGCTGTCTGCCTCAGTAGAGCAGCCAAAAGCAGAAGCAGCATCGCGCGCTCCTTCTGTCTCGCCAGACACATCTTGCGGACTGGCCAAGGTGGGCTAGGCTGTCTGTAGGGCGGCGCAGCAGCAGGCTGCCGCTGCTGCTGCTGTTTCCGAAAGGTAAACGTCCCTGTGTTCCCTTGTTTGCGCGTGCAGAGCCACCCGAAGAATACTGCAGCGGAAGATTCAGGGGCATATATGCAAATATAAACCAGAGGAACGCCTTCGAACACGGGTAATATCGACAGCCGCCAGCTTGCAAGCTTGCGGAGAGGCTGAGGCCAGTCTGATTCTGTTTCCCTTTAGAAAATTGCACAAATGTCAACAAATCTATTGCCAAGTGCCGAAACTTACACTGCGGCGCGAAAGGCCTTTTTATCTGTATAGACACCGGGTCTCTTCTGAGACGGCACGCCAGAGCGGGAGGTGCTCCGTCGGCCGAGGGGATGGGGGGAATACACGGTTAAGCACTTGAAACAACCAAGCTAAGAAGTACTACTGACACTAGGTTCATTTTTTTGCCTTTTACAATGTGTTTCTGGTAACAAGTACACCCCAAGATGGATTAAGCCAGGAGGGGCTGTCTGCCAGCTCGTGGCTGGCGGGGCCTTCGAAGAGTGCGTTGTATTAGTCAGTGCCTTCTGTGTTGCACGTTATAATTTAACTGAATGAGCGTGACACTGAATTTAAAGTATATCTACTTTTTGTCTTGCTGTCTCAACTCCCGTACTGTATGCCAAGCCGCCCCCGCGACATCAATCGCTGTGGGGTGCGGCTTTTGCCCGCTCTTGCGTGTTAACCTTCAGAATTCAAAGTGCAGTTTAAATGGAGCAAACACTAAAGAGTGGCAGATTTTGTTTTCCCTTGGACATGATTCCCGCTGTTTGTGGCGCCCTCACAGCGTACGACGCCCTCCATAACTTCTTTGACAGCGCGGATAGGCCCCATTTGACCTAGCCAAGTAGTGAATTGCTGACTGCGCGAGGCCTTTAAATGCTCGCGCGGATAGTCACAGGAGTGGCATTAGCTGTAGTGCGGTCTTCATTGCTGCAGTTGCTCTCGGACGAACAGGAAGGCGCCGGCGACAATGTAAAATCTCTCTTTTAGAAGAAACGACGAAAGAGCATATTAGATGGGGTAATAGAAATGCTCCTGGCTCTGGTGGAAAGACATTCCGCAATCCCTCAGCCTGTGTGCAGTGTAGCCACCACTTGACCCATGCTGTGACCGTCCGCCTGCGATTCCTCGCAGCTTCGTGTCAACACCAGTTCAATAAGGCTCATCTTTGTAGTTACTTGCATCCTTCACACACCAATGCAGGCGTCTGAAGACATGCGTTCGTCTTTCAGGCGACTACCTCATTAATTCACCAGCCGTCAAAATGAGCAACCCTGAATCTGATGCTTCAAGCCCTATGTGGCGTATGCTTGCGGTTAGCTGGGCCATGCTTGCTCTGCGGTGTAGTGTGTGCTGCTGCAGTCACGCCCCGCTGGGATTCTACCTCAGCATGGGTCCCTTGCCACTCTAAGATCACAATTAGCCAAAGATGAAATTCACCAAACAGGCCTCGGGCTTCGATATAACCCGAGAAAGGGCTTTGCCCCTGTCATTTTCGAGCTGCAGCCGCTGCTGCACCAAGGAGAACCGTCTTACCGTTTCGAAAAGATCGCTAGGTGTGCTCATCTCTGTCACGGAGAGCGGCACAGAGAGCCTGTGCCGACCGTTGAACTGCACAGATACCTGAACTTTCCGGCTGTTTTCCGCAGTTTTTTCTTTCTCGAATTCTTCGCCCTCGGTTGTTGGCCACTCGCCTGAGGCTGCAAGGGTCCACCCTGGAAAGGCGAAAGCAGCGGGATATTCTGCTGCTAGGCGCTTCCACAGCTCTTCGGTTATGAAGGGGGCCACTGGGTGCAGCAGCGTCAGCAGGGTTTTGACGCAGCTGACGGACAAAGTACCTCCTTGACGCTGTTGCTGCTGTTGCAGATGCCGGCTACCCGCCATTAGAGCCGCCACTGCACGGTTCACTTGCATGCGTTCTAGACTGCGCGTTACGTTCGCCACCAGAGGAGCCAAAAGCTTCCTCTCCCCTTCAGACATATTTTTCATTGATACACCCCGCAGTCGACCCGCATAAACTGCCTCAGGGCCCGCTCCTCCTGATCCGCGGGGGACTCCAGAGCATTCAAATGAACTGTGGAGCCCTGTTGGGAGGTCCTCTGTAGTTCTTTGGGGGCACTCTCCCTGTAGGCCTGTAGGAGCGTTCTTGGGGTCCAAAATCCCTCCTCGTGGACCTCCAGTCTGTTCCCTGGGGCCTCCTGAGACCTCTTTCAAGCCACAGGAACGTCTTGTTGGGTCCTGTTGGGATGACTCAGAACTGAATAAGGGTTTAATTGACGGGCCAAGAGGAGATATGAGCAAATTCCAAATGCGACTTAGTAGGCGGGTGGCGCCTGAAATTCCCTCTTCTCTCCATACTTTTGTAGAGGGCACCGGGCCCAAGGCCATGAGGTGTATGCGAAGCACATCCCCACCGTAAGCCTCTAGCACCTTGTCGGGAGACACTGCGTTGCCTTTCGATTTCGACATCTTTTCGCAAAGAGTCAGCAACTGGACAGGAGCTTCCTGAGTACTTGGGGCCACTTCTGCCGCTGCTGCTGCTGAAGGGTGGCGTGCTAGCTCTGGTGGCGCTGCTTCTGGCCTTGCTGTTGGTTTTGTTCCTAAGGAAGGAGCTGCCACTGCACCCTCTGCTGCCACTACTGGGTGCTGCTGGCTCTGCGTCCATTGCTGTGATTGTTCTGAGTTAACAAAGACCCACGTACCCGGGCTCGTTTGCTTGATAGTTGGAGAGTCGGCAGGAAGAGCCTCTGCAAAAACTGCAGTCCCCGAGGGCCTGTGGGTGCCACAGACTACTCGTGCTGCCGCAGCAGCATCTTTTGCTGCAGCAGGGGCCGCATCCACAAGGCTCGTTGCTGCTGAGGCTGCTGGGTTTGCCGTGAGAAGCGCAGCAGCTGTGGGGGCCAAATCCACGTCTGCTGCTCCTACGGGGGCCCCAGTGTCAGTGCGGCGCAGCAAAAAGTGGCGAGGAGTCCCCAAAATGATGCCTGGAGTAAGCAGGCACTTGAAGGGTTCTTCACCGGAAGCAGCGCCGATATCTCTGAGAAACTTATGCCAAAATCTGAGAAGAAAGAGGCAGACACACGCAATTCATGGTGAAGCTTTGAGACAGGGAGAGAAAAGTTATACCCAAGCACAATCCTGCATCCAGCTGTACCGCGCCGGCCAGCTGTGGTTCACTCACTGCTAGCCGGTCACCTAGAGCACAAATGTGAACACAAAACAAGACAAACCTTGCGTATATGAGGTGCGTCACTGCGTGCTCCTTGCCTCCCACGTACAAGTCAACTGGCAACCAGTATTGCAATAAAGAAGGCCTGGCGAGGGCCTCCTCGTTGTGGGGGTCGGGGAACCGCAAATGGTACCAACTGCTCCCCGCCCACTGAGGCATGGTACTTGTCTCTCTAGCCAGGAAAGAGCCTCCTACAGAGTCTTGACTAGATTCTTCTTGAGGGCTTTTCAGAGGGCCACTTTGCTGTTTAGGTCCACTCTGTGAAGAGCCGCCCCCCAATACCCAGTCCCTGTAGTGGCCGAGCGCCGCTACAGTCTCTGAAGCCTCAGCTGCCGCCCTCTTCCTGGGTATGTTATTTACAGACGGAACAATGCAGCTGTCTTCAGCAGTAGATGCGACAGGAGCGCCTCTTGCTGCTGCTGCTGCTCCTGTGTAGGGGCCGCTGCTGACAGCTGGCCGAAAAGGCGGGAGTATCAATGGCAGGTCTGCATCAGAAAGAGGAACAATACTGCCTGTCTCCTCCGCTGCGGCGTGGGGGCAAAGCGCCTGCCCAGCAGCTTCACCTGTGCCCACGTCATCTTCTTTTCTGGTGCTGCTGCGGCGCTTGTGGAAGACGCGCATCACGGGGATGGGCTCTCCCCAGTACCTCTGACGGCTGAAGACCCAGTCTCTTAGCCGGTACCGAACCACCTTTTTGCTGCAACTACTCGACTCAAGCCATTCCAAGGCCTGGGCCTTTGCTTCCTCCGCCTGTTCCTCGTCGCCTCCCAAGCCTCCCTGAGGCTGGGGGGCCCCCAGAGGCCCCTCAAAATCCAAATGTTGAGAAGGCGGGAATGCAGGGTTAAGAGCCAGCAAACCTGCAGCAGCCAGCGGCGCCGCGAAGGGCTGCTGGGAAGGGGAGAGGAGGAGAGCATCCGCCTCAGTCAACTGCAGCCCGAACTCGGGCAGCCGTCCCATAATGTCTGTCACGACGACAGGCATTCGGTGGTTCGTTAGCGGGTTCTGTACATAGAGTCCCGTATGGACGCCACTCACTGCTCCTTTCCGCACTTCGTCTCTCATGTACTTCTCTATTGTTAGTCTATCGTTCCCACTGTTCCCCAGCTGCGCAACCAGCGGGTGCTTTGGGTGCACCGCTACGCCGGTGCAACTGGGCAAGCTGTCAGGAGATAACAGCAGGCAAGGTATGTGCGAGGGCTGCGTGGCTAAGGGCGAGGAGCCTCGCTGCGCCACAGGGAGGCTGAGGCGAAAGTACACTGCTTTGCCTATCCAGTTGCGCTGCATCTGCAGGACCTCCGCCGGCCAGGCCAAGGCAGACAGCCCTGCAAGCAGCTGCTCAGAGTACGCCCGAAGCTTCAAGTGCCACTGGCGCAGCAGCCGGCGCTCCACAGGAAAGCGCCCGCGTTCACTCAGGCCGTCAGCAGTCAGCTCCTCATTCGCAAGCACAGTACCTGCAGCGATCCAACACAAACTCCAAGCCTTTCAGTCTAAGCCCATATTCTTAAACGCAGCTTCTACGGTCGCAACTGGCCCGTGCGTTGCACTGACACTAAAGGTACCTAAAGATCAGCCGCAAACCACAAACTCTAAAACTTAGATAAAAGCCCTGAGCTCTGGGATCAAAGAGCTTAATATCTAGGCTATCAACATTACGCACCCAAGGCGGGGCACCAGTTGACCTCAGCCTCCGCCTCGTAGGCCAGCCCTGACTTGAACATCTTCAGGAAGACCCACTGGGTCCACTTGTAGTATTCGGGGCTGCTGGTGTTTATTTCTCTTCTCCAGTCTACGCTGAGTCCCAGCCGCTGCAGCTGCCGCCTGAAGGTGTCAATGTTTGCCTGCACCACAGAGGCTGGGGGCTCACCCCTCTCCCGCGCATGCTGCTCAGCCGGCAACCCAAACGAGTCCCAGCCAATTGCATGCAGCACCGGCGGCTGAAGAGGATGGTCCAGTTCGCTTTCTTCAGGGCCCTGCCGGGTCCCAGACGCTGCTTCAGAAAGAGGCTGATGCTGCTGCTGCTGCTGCCGCTGTTGCTGCTGCTCCTTGTGCAGCAGAGCGCGCAGCCGCAAGCGGTGGTAGCGCGCAGCGACGTCTGCAAGAGTGTACGTGTAGCAGTGGCCAATGTGGAGGCCTCTGCCCGACGGGTAAGGTATCATAGAGAGGACATAAAACTTGTTGGGTTTGCTGTTGCTGCCTTTCTCGTCAGCTGCTGCGTGTGGGGCCCCCCTGGGACGCGGTGGGGGCGGCAGAGGCGGCGAGTACTCTGCACTTCTCTTAGCATAGTACTGTACCCACTTTTGCTCCACTTCCTGAAAGGGGTAAGGGGCCCTCTCGGGGCCCCCCGTTTGCGCTGCGTAGCCGCGCGTGGCAGCCGGCCTGCGATGGCCTGCTGCTGCTGCAGCAGGAAATACAGCAGCAGCAGAACTGGAAGCCTCAGGAGCTCCTAAAGCCGGCTGCCCGCGGAGAAGCTCCCCAGGGGCAAAGGCAAGGCTGGGGAGGGGAGCAGGACGGGCAGCCACACGGATCTGCGCGCTCTCCACCTGCTGCTGCCGCAAGCAGGCCAGCAGCAGAAGGGCCCCACAGCAGCCACGCACAATCCCAAGCAGCCACTTCCCCATAGCTATGAAGTAGGGGAGGCATGGGGGACGGGGAGTTGAGACACTAAGACACAGCTGCCATTATTTATCCCGTTTGGAGCTACTGTTGCCTACAAAATGGTCGGCATTGTAAGCAACAGCGCTAGACTAGAGGGAAAGAGGGACAGGAGCTGATCCTGAAGATCCGCAACAGAAGAGAGAGTTCGGGGGGCCCCACAGCCGACAAGAGCCGCTCACGAACTGTTGGCGGCCAACTTCAAAAGAGAGAGACAACAATAACAATAAGACAAAACGGGAAGTGTGTCAGGCATTTTGCAAGCGTAGGAGATTAGCTGGGCCTAACTCGCTACGGCTGGGCAATGTAAGAAAGAGCCAATGGGCTGGGGCCTCCCGAGGCTCAACAGCCCGCGCGACCGAGGCGACGGGTAAAAACTTGCAAAAAAGGATGAGTAACTCGTGCAAAATCTTCAAATATACGACAATTAATCACAAGAAATAGAAACTTGCGGCAGAGCGTCGAAATGGCGTGGAGAACAAGCAAACAAACACGATGTTGCAATTTCAGAGCTGACAAGGGATCCCCACTTTGCAAGCCCACGTGAACAGAAGCAGTGAAAAATCAGCAACGCTGTTAAGCACCCTTTTCATCAGTTCTTTAGTCAAAAGACAGTCATTGTTTTATCCAAGGGTTCAGCCCAGTTATGCTTTACTTTGCTACGGCTGATTCTTGTGAGGCCCACAACGGAGTAGTATTGGATCATCCTCGGTATTGCTCCTCCATGTAGACAAAAAATGCGGAACAAAATGATATACAGCGCATTTTAACTCAAGTCGGCAGCTCAACAAAAGGTGTTTCGCAGGAACTGGCCGCAGTTTCTTGAATCTGTCGAGGAGCTAGGCGCTTGGTAGCTCGCTGTTCTCAACTAAGCAAAAAAAAACCACTGCAAATAAGCTCCCATTAAAGTAATTCTTGAATCAAACTAGTGTGATGAAGCCTTTAAGATCACTGGGGCACGAAGCAGGGCTCTGACGCCGTCGACCTTGGGGTGTATGCGCAGCTCCCGGCCCAGTTCTCCACAGGTATGCAGGATTAAGTAAAAAGGCGTTACGTATTAGGGAACTCTTTGAAAGGAGCTCACCATGGCAAACATATTTGAAAGCATCTGAAAATGCAACGGCATTTAGCCACTGTTGCTGGGCTCTTCACCTTCCTCGCTTTTCTTTTCTGTGTTTTGCGTGTTGAAGGGCTGCGGGCGGTACGGAACCAGACAATTAAAATTAACGCCACGTGCTTTATTTTCTTTGCAGCAATCCTGGCCGATAAAATTTCGGCAGAATGCCCAAACTCTGCCTTCCATTGAGGTGAAGCTTTCTCCGCCGGATGATGTGAGTTCATGCTTGTATTCCGCCTTGATAGTCTGTTACCATCCCCGTGTACACCACGATCGTAGCCACTTCCTCAAGTGACCGCAGAAGTGCTCCTTTTGGAGCGATCCCGCTTGGAGCTGGAGGAGGTGAGATTGATTAGTACTGTTTCTCGCTACTGCTTTTTATGCGAGCAAACTGCACGGGACTGACTTCAGGGGTTGATGGCGAAGCTGGAAGATGAGTATAATGTGCAGCTGGACAATGCTCAGGAGCAAATTGCTTCAGCAGTAGAGCGGGTGGGCATGACTGAAGCCATTTTTTCTCCTCAACTTACTGACATGTGCGCAGGCAATGAGCACATTCAACAATCCAGCCATTCTGCAAGGCGCAATAAAAGGAGCCATGCTGCCTCGCACTGGGTCAACAAGCGAAAGCGAGACTGAGGCTAGATTTCAACAGCAAGACAGGTCGGCTAATTATTTTTTTAGAATTTTCGAAACCAAGTGAAGAAAGAAGGAAGCAGCAGCGAGGCGATTGCAAGGCGCTCACCCCTCCCAGCCATAGAAAATGGAGCGATTCGGCAATTTACATCTTTTCTGCAGACTGGAGAAACAGTGGAGTCCAAAAGTGCAATTGTTGGGGACATAATGGCTGCTGCTCTCGCGCCTCCTCCCGCAGTGAAGCTGCAAGTGCGTAGAGCTGAATGTTTGTTGAACTGCGCAGAACAAAGCCCTTTTAACTACTCAGCTGACGGAAGTCAATGAGCCAGACCCTCAAATTAAAGAAAAAATGGTAGGCAAAGACCTATTTGAGCTTCAGTGGGTTTGTGGCTAAGCAGCAGCAGGACGAGATAGAGCAGCTCCGCGCTGACGAGGAATCGAAAGTTCGTGATTTCTTTCTTCCCTCCATTTCCGAATTCTTTGCCAGATTTTAATAACTCTGTAGATGTTTGACCAAGCCATGGCAGAGTTCGGCCAGCTGACGCAGATCACAGTCGCCGGTGAGAAAGCGCATTCGCGGCGAGTTGTGCAGGTTGAGTTGCATGCATCTTCAGAGCTCGAGAAAAACATTCAAATCCAGATGAACCCATTCCTTGTCGACAAAGCGGTGAGGCAGCAGAACACAAGGGCATATGGCAAAGCAGGCGTCAGCGAAGGACTTCAGGCTGTTTCTCAAGCCATGGAACGCGTTTCAGTGTCAGAAGTGCCTGGATCCTACTCGCCAATCCCTCTAGCATTCCAGCAGATCGAAGAAAACCCTCAGGCCTCCTCGCCTCCAGTCAGTTATCTGAAAATGAAATCCCATCACTAAGGGCTTCCATGGGTTTCTAATCTTGCGCACAGACACCGCTGATGACCTCTTTTTTGCAACTCAGCAGCTCGGAATCTGCTGCTCAGCGTAAGCCTCACTTCTCCTTTGACTAGAAATGCAAGTATTCGTATCTTATGGATTTCATGCAGAGGCAAAGTTTGGCCTAGCAGCGGAAAAGCAGCTCAACGTTAAGATTGCCCAGTCTGAAAAACCGTATGCACACTGCATGCAGCATGCTCCAACGTACACTGCCAGTCTCATTTTGCGTACAACTTCAACAGGTACCCAACAGTTGACGAGATCGTCAGTGAAATGCAAAAAAAAAGAGACGCAACGGAGCGCCTGGTTGGTTGACTGCAAATTTCTGCTGTCCGTTCAACACGCCAGCTCGCACGTGTTCAGGAGCGGATGAAGATACTGCAGCTGCAGCTCAAGCTGCTGCGGGTACGTGTTGTTGCTTCCACAGGGTAGCGTGTCCCAGCCCCAGCTGCCTTTGCTGCAGGCCGAAGGCGAGATGATTAAGGAGGCGCTACACGCCAACGTCGCGCGGATTCTCGCGCAATATGCCCCCGCCAGTACGTATCGCTTTCGTTCTGAATTGCGGTCTGCCACTCCTCACTTCTGTTCCCCCTTCTTATCTACTGCAGTTGAAGCCATTAAGGCAGAGACAGCAGTGCGGGCCTTGGCTTGAATCTGCAGGGGGTTGGGTGGCGTCGAGATGCCGGGAGGATGCGGGAAAAGCTGGTGTTTACACCCATTTCAATACATCTTTAATCAATATGTTCCAAACCACCTCAATAAGCACCTCTATGCAAATTAAGTATATCACGATCCACTCCAGCTTGTACCCGTGCTGCGGCAGGGCAAAAACAGACACGAAACTCCACCTCACTTTGTTCACTAACACCCCGTCAAGCGGCGCCCTCGATCTGTTCTTCTTTTGCTGCTGCTGCTGCTACTACTGTATCTCTAGTATTTTGGCGTACTTGAATGGTCAACTCGTTGTTCAGCATGTCGTATAGATCCTTAATAATGTCAAGCCTAAACACGCCACAGCGGGCATCCGCACCCAGTTTTACCAAGAAGTATACACCGCTAGAAAACGAATATGAAAAGAGCGCAAACAGGTTCGACCAAACACAGAGAGCAAGACAATATAGAAGGAACAAAAGAGAGAGCCAGGTACAGACGACAGGAACCCTACGTGAATTATGTACCTCTGATTAAGAATCTCAACTCGTTTTGGTATCTCTAAGTAACGCCTGCAGTGATCATAGTGGTCGGCAAAGTCATCGTTGTCCCAGAATATGTCTGAGGCAGAACACTCAACATTACATCCACGCATATGCATATCCATACGCTCATATTCTGCTTGAGTAAACTGCCCGCTGCTTCCGCTTGTACCACTCTTGCTCTTATTTTTGTATTTTTGTTGCTTCTCCTCATTTAGGCGTGCTTGTCTGCACGTGCTACTTGAGTTGTGCGCTTGTCCGTAGAGAAGTACTGCTGGCACTGTCTCGACGGCAATCGGCTGTTGCTACGGCTGACGCTGTGCTGCTGCTGCTGTATCGCTGCACCTGGCGTATCCAGAATATCCGTATGAAGGTTTATGTAGAATCGATTGACAAACAATTCCCCAATACGACGCCCTATGTCCTCACGGGTTGACTGAATATTGCCAGTACGCGCCAGACTCTCTGCAGCAACATGAACAGTAGTGGTGGCAGCGGCAATAGCAGCAGCATAGCTGACTGAGAAAGGTGAGAAGAGGCTGGTGAAAAGACAGCGGCACTACTTCTTACCCGGTATCATTTTGGTCCGTTCGATATCGGCGTCCACCAGCGTCTCAAAGAAGGCTAGCTTTACACTCTTCGGGGAAAAAATGCACAAACAAATGTTACGTTTCGAATTATTTGCGGACGCTTTGGTCCCCCTGTTCTTCCACATTTTCCCTCTTTATGTGCCTGCTTGTCTGTATTTCGGTTGCTGCGTCGTTGTCTTGGCTTCTGTCTGCGTCTCTCTGCCGTTACTTCTTTCCTATGACTATGATTTAGGTCCAAGGCTTTGGACTACAAGTTTAGTGCGCACCTGTGCGAATGCGTAGGAGTAGGCTAAACATTCAAACACGTTCGTGGTGACAAGGTGGATGTTGTCTCCCTTTATTGTTGCTCTGTCGCTCCACACATACGTCATTGTGTCGTCTTCTTTGTTTGCGCCCAGCGGCTCTTTGAGGTAAGGCTGCATGAAGGCCACTAACGCCTGCATGCAAACAGATACGTAAGTCCTGCATAACTTGTTCAAGTTTTGGATCCATATTTTCCAAATGCGCACCCACACACGTAATAGGCATGAAAGCGTGCTTGTAATATCGTATACACAAGTGCCATAAAAGTACGTGAGCAAGTGAGAATGTAAATATACTGGTGTTGATATATTTGCTTGTACATTTACAAGCATACACCTAATACGCAGTAAAAAAATTGTACATTCAGTAAAAGCCCCACGTTTAACGGAACACCGGAAAAAGGCACGGGCGCTACAAATGCAAATACTTTGGCAAATGACGAAAATGCGATACATGCATTCCAAATATACAAAACGTCATTGTAAGTGCAATAGTGTAAGGTACCCCAGTGCAGGGTTTCAATCTGTGGAGCAATGATTTAGTCAGCACGAAAGACAAAACAGAAAAATGAGACCCAAATACCAAAATATGAGTAATTGGCGGACATAGGCCTTACCTTCTGTTCCTCTACGTCTATATCCCATGCAACGATGCAACCTGGAATCAGACGGACAAATTGGCAGGCAAACGCGAGGACACAAATTAGCTTGCTGTTGTTTCCAGTACAGCACCTTGCTGACTCTGTAGCCACTGTGGCTGCTGCTGTTGCTGCTGCTGCAGACGTGGGTTCCTTCTTCTGCGTATTCATCATACCGAATCTAAAGACAAAGACGGTCTTTCTCTTAACGAAGCACTTGCAGAAGAGAACTTCGCTGTACGTGTTCTCCACCCTGCACCGAGCACCAAGCGCACCAAACACCTAGGGCGTGGATAAGCTAAATATGGTTTAGAAGTGAACCTGGATACGTTTTGTGTGAAAAAAGCGATAGCGAAGTGAATAACCAGTGCAACGGGAACCTTGCGGGGAAACTAAGGGGGCAGCAAACGAACTTGAGAAACTTTGGGCGAATAATATCGGGCCTCTTCACAGCCTTTAAAATCTCGGTGAAGAGCTGAAAAGGAAAACAAAAGAAACAACGGTAATTGGAATAATGGGAGAAAAAGAGAACGGCGCAGACGAAATCAACATGCGCATCTGCACAGAAACTCCTTCCAATGTTTACCCATTAGATGCATCCATGGTAGTTTCTTGTCTCTTATCGTCAACATATATGCTTCAAAGGCCAGAAAACGTGTACAGAGATAGCAAGGGCATGTTGTACTCGCAAGCATTTTGTACCCTGAAAGCCAAGCTAGGCTCCGCATTTTAGGTGTAAGGGGGTAAGGGTTTAGCGCCTCACGACTTCAGCGCCTATGCAGACAGCCCAGACACATCCTGCGGGCGTGGGTCGCTGCGGAAAAACAGAAGCAGTGAAGGGGTCCGCAAGGATCCTCGAGCTTTAACCCTAAAGTCTAGACCCCAGGACGAATTGATTGCAGCAGCGCCTCACGTCTGCTCTCTCCCTGATAGAAGCCTGAATGTCGGCTCTCTTCTTTGTGCTGCGTATGGGTTTGCGTTGCTGCGTGGGCTGCAGTCAAACCAAGCACACAAAGCCTTCAGTGTTGCGCATTCCCAGCCAGCGCGTTCCTCTCACAGGACCTCCTTGCGAACTCTACGCAGTCGTCGTTGTTTTCGACAGGTGGCGACAAACAAAACCAGGCAAAAGGACAAGAATTGAGACGCGGAGGACCCACCACCATGGCGTGGTGCGCCGAAGAAAAGTCAGGGTCACTGTCTGGAGGGATGTCCACCTGAGTCTTCACGGAGACCTGGGGAGGCTCAGTTATCTGCTGATAATGCCCTGAGGGCTCCATGTCTCTTAAGGGCTGCATTTTGGCCATGAGCAAAGCCCCTAAACCTAAAATATAGAACAGGAAATGCACACGGCGAACCACGCCCGCGAAGGCCACAAGCCCCCGCTAGCCCGCCTCCCGACGCTGAAAACAGGACTAGATGCGTTTAACAAAACAAAAGATGATGGAATTTTAAAGGAAGAAACAGACGAAAGCGGACAGATCAGCAGCAGCAGCAGTTGCAGTAGCATGCAGCTAGACTGGGCCAGCAGTGTTGGGGGCCCCGCGTTGGGGGGCCCCACGTCCGCTGTGAGGGCCCTTAACCTTCTGTTGCGAGCATTATCAAACACGCTATCGAATTATTTATGAAAGCAATTAATAAAATAGTAACTTCGGTCATTTATTTCTCTCTTCCTGGCAGGCCCCAGATACAGACTCCCTTCGTCCACAGAGGGCCCCAGGCTGCCTCAGAGGCTCCTTTTGTGATCTTGGTGTTCACTGCCTGGCTCAAAACGAAGCAGCTACGTGGTTAGCCCTAGCTGTGGGCTTGCAGCAGCCAAACCAGCTGCAGCGGGGGGCCCTACACCAAGCCCGAGATATGGGGGGCCCCCAAGGGGCCCAGGCGTCAACAGCGCCTGGAGCCAAACAGAGCCAACTGCCCATGGATGACCCTCAGGTAGGCATAAAAGGTGCAATAGCAGCTTGCACTGAGGCAATTTTATAGGTCCTTTGTGGGCCCGTTGTCGACGTCTTTAGTCCTAATGGGGGCTACTGGGCATCACTAGGGCTCTCAAGGCCTTATGATGGCCTCAGACTGAGCTAAGCTGCAGCTGCAGAACCACGGCCACAAGCCTTAAATATATCTGCACTTGAAACGCGGAGGTTTCTCCGTTTTATTACACAGCTTCCCCCAGCTTTCTACATTGAGGGTTTAGGAATAAGGAGTTATTGTCGAGGCGTTGTGCTGCACAGTCTCGGACGGCGAAGAGGTCACGTGGCACCATAAAACGACAGAGAGCCTTAGAGAAGAAGGTGCAGGAGAGCGTTTCCGCTGTGACCGCGTTGCTCACAGAAACAGAAGGGTGAGACACCCCAGTGGAACAGCTGCAGCAGCAGGGGCGACAGCAGCAGCAGCTGGCGCAGCTACGCAAACGCCCTATACTCTGCACCTTGAAACTCGTTTTTCCTTAGTGCATTTTTATGTCTGTTTGCCCCTCTGGAAGCCTACACCGTCTTTGTGGACTTGTCTAGTAGCCTCTGCTTTCTCTTGTCTCCCTATCTGTTGAATACAAGTTCATATATTTGCTCATTCTCCCCTCTGCTGCCTTCAGCTATCTTGAGGCCGAGGGATTAGAGAAGACGTATAAATTCACTCAGGCCGATATACTCGAAAATGTCAGCGAGGAAATAGGGAAGAAGGTAAGGCCAGGCGCTAGGCGCTAAACCCTAAACCGTAAACCCTGGATCCGACACTGTACTGTAGCTGTTGTCGCAAGAGGTGCTGCAAACCTCAAACAGCCCTTCCTTGTCTAATTTTTAAGATTGTGTTTCCGTCTTAGCCGTTTTTGTCTCTTTTCATGCTTATCTCTTCCTGCGACTATTATTTTTTGCCATCCTTTGATTCTGCATTCGGCTGCGTCCTTGCATAGCAGGCCTTTCTGCTGCTCGAATGTTTTGCCGCTTGTCAATAAATCCCCCCTTTCTTCTTTTCATTAATCAGGCTGCGAGCTAGCTGAGAGCCCAAGTTGTCTAGCCAGTGACCCCTTAGCTAGCTAGCTAGCTGGCCTGCGCGTCTTTCTGTGTAGGCGTTTCGCCTTGGCTTGTCTTTCGGCCCCTACTTCGTTGACTACACTCGCGGCGGCCGCCACCTTCTGCTGGGGGGCCAAAAAGGGAATTTGGGTGTTTTGGATTGCCACGAAATGAAAACAATCTGCGAAGTTAATGTCAGGCAGTTAATCCAGGACGGGACTCTGTTTCCTTTCGTCTTGTTGTCACTGTTGCCTTAGGGTCCTCCTCTTCGTGCCGCTCCCTCTCAGCTTCTGCATGCCTCTTTGGATCTGCTCTTGCCTTTCTCTGCGGGCCCTTATTTGTGTAATTGTGTTCCTCTTTTTTGTGTTCTGTCTCTGTTCACTAGTCGGTGTGTCTTTTTCGCCTTTTGCGATTTCGTTTTCGTTTGGTTGCCGCTGTTCATTGCTTGTTTTATCTTTTCTAGATGCTTCGTTCCGTTCTTACTATCTCTGTCACTCCCCCTGGGCTCCACTCTTTGTGTGTTACTTGCTCTTTTCGCGCTGTGTTTACTTCTCTTTTGTACATCGCTTCTTCGTGGCATTCTCCTTTTGCTTGGTTTGTGCCTCTTTGTTGTATTTCTTCTTCTACGTATTACCTCTCCTTTTATTTGATCTTAGTTGCGTTTTACATGTAACTCTCCCGTCTGATCGTGCCCTCCAGCTTTTGAGCTCCGTTGACTTCGTTTCCGTCTCTTTTTAGGTGAAGGAAACCGTACGGTCCGTCTGCTTTCTCCAGAATCACACACTCTGGGCCGCAGGTTAGCTTTCCGTCGCACTTTTTCTCTTGCCTTCTCACTTGAATTCCTTCGCTGAATTACACATTGTTTTGCGAACTTCAGCTTTTGCATCGTATTTTTCGTAATAGTCTTTCCCGTCTATGTGTTGTAGTTATCGCGTATGTGGAACGCTCACGGCCATTTGTTTTGTAGTACATGTACAATATATATCTGCATGCAATCATGTATGTGCCCTTAACTACGCTTCTGGTTACTGTTTAATCGTGGTAGCTAACCTCAGAGAGCCTCTCGCTTGTATGTATCACGAAGACGCGCTTACACTCCCCTTCACTTCAAAATGAAACGATGGCTTAGGATTGAGAATGGCTCGTGAAGTGTGTAGGGTTTAGGGTTCACGGAAAGATTTGTGAAATTCGGTGCTTGATGCGCAGCTCAGAAGAAGTACGTTTACATCTACGACAACCAGGGCATCGAAGTTCATTGCCTTAGAGACCTCATGGTAAGCTCTCTAAAACCGTTTGCGCAGGATGAACTATCTAATTAACTGGCTAAGTAGCAAGCCAGATATTTGAGCAGCTCGAATAGACCATGAATAGCATGCAGAACCTGTGCATCTACAGACAACTTGCTTTAGACAAAGCTGAACATCTGATCCGCTAGCTGTCTAGTCAACTACCGAGCCCGCTAGCAGGATAGATTGGGCGAGGTTGGTGTCCCGCTAGAAGATTAGGGACATTGTTCAACGAGGCTGCGACAAGTAAAGATTAGTCGCAGAGGAGCGCGAGCACAAGCACACGCACAGCTGCAGATGAGAGCTTAGTCCAGTCCCGGTGTCAGCGGCATTTGTATGCATGCGTTTCAGCTGACCTATTCTTTATCATTTCTACCTTACCATTACCTCATGGTCTCCACAGGAGAATTCGGCGAGCTAAAGTAAGACCTAATGAGGCCTTTAGACGCATGCTGCAAGCATGCGATCGCAAGCTCACAACCCTGGGAGCGCATGCAAGCGCCTTCATACAGCATGTGCATGCTTAAGGAAAGATCTATGAGTGCAACTACATGAATGCCAGTGGAATGCAGCACTAGCATGCATTCGAGCTCACACAATACAAGAATGCATTTAACGGCGTGCATGAGACTGCGTGTGGACAGTTGCTGTCACGCGGTGGCGCCTTGTCCTTCAGTTATTACGACATATCGACGGGCCAAATCGCTGCAAAACACAGGACCAAGAGGGGGCCCTGCGGGGTGATGGCCCCAAATCCTACAAACGCAGTGATGCATCTCGGACACACCAAAGGCACCGTCACTCTCTGGACACCAAACCTCGGCAAGGTCACTTCTACAGACCCTTAAATCTAAGTTCGCAAACCTTTGCCATAGGCTTTTGGTCGCAGCAAACAGGGGACTGGCTCCTCAGGGAATGGGATTTATACAGTGGCTCCAGGACGCGAGTGCTGTTTGACTGCTTTACGTACCGCTTGAACCGTGAGCTTCGATTCTTCTTTCGGGTTTAGGGTACAGGGATGCGGGTTTCGATGTGCTCTGCTACAGCCGGCGGTGGACATGTTGTGTCACAAAGGAAAAGTCACTGCTCTTGCAGCGCAAGATCAATACATGGTTACTGCTGGTGAGTCTTGCCTAGGGCGTTGGTTTTGGAGTTTACGGTACACTAGTTTGACGAGCTACAGCGACACACTGTAACGGTTCCAGCGGCTCATGGTGGGCTCTGATGCCAGCGGGCGTATGTAGATGAACCCAATGCCAAGTTTATGCCTCCTACACTTTGTTTTGACCTTTAAACTTTGTACACTCTGTGTCTCGAGTATGGAGTGGCTGAGTGCTATTTTGCAGCTGACCCTAAAATCCTCAGCTCCGCAGGCTCAGTGCTTGTGTTTCATTGTATGGGATTCATGTCCCGGGGTTGAGGATTTGTGGAACGCTTTTGCTGATTTGCGGAGTGTGGTGTCTTGGGTTAGATTTTAGATTTTAGGACTCGCATCCTGCAATTTGGGCTATATGTACAGGTGTGGACGGAAAATGGAAACTGTGGGACCTGCGCAAATACGAGACCGTGCAGTCGTTTAATTATTTTGGTTCCCCGCCCTCGTGTGTTTCAATAAGCCAGAGAGGGTTAGTAGGACTGGGCTTCGGATCACATGTGCAAATATGGAAAGATGTATTAACTCAGCAGAGGGCTACATTGTACTTGACGCACGAAATGCCAGGGGAGGTGAGATAGGAAGAGATACGAAAATCCAGGGGCATAGAAGCAGCCCAACAGATATAAGAAGGCAAAGCGTAGAGAGGCAGAGATGGAGTGCTACTTGGGCTAAAGCAGAGGCAGAAAATAACCATGCTTAAAAGATGACACGGACGTAGTGGTGACGAGAGAGGTGGTGACCCTAACGGTTAGACATAGACGAAGGGAACAAGACATAATCAAAACGGAGGCAGAGAAACAGCGCTTATATAGGAGGACGTGAATACAGCCTAGAAGCTGGTGCACAGATAAAATGAGGTAGCCGAGCATATTCAAACTCACCAACACGAACAAGACAAAAGCGGAAACATATGTAGGATGTACTTTCACACAATTTCACTGAGTAGCCCTCCTGTTTCCAATTGTCACTCTTCAGACTCGATTGTTTTTCGTTGGTCTAGTTGGAATAATCCGTTCACCATCTGTTTTCCTAGTATTTTCTGGATAGCCAGATTCTTCACACACAAAACGCACATAATGTCTGTGCATTTGAATGTATTTTTAAGCGTTTTTGTGCTTTGCGTCTGCAGCAAGTGAGCTGCCTCGCCTTCAGGCCCTTCGAAGACGTCTGCGCCTACGGCTCCACAGGCGCAGTAGGAACGTTGCTCGTGCCTGGTGCCGGCTTGGCCAACTACGACTCAAGAGACGCAAATCCTTACGAAACCAAGAATGTAGGGTGTACTTTTGTGCGGTTCTCTAGCATTGAATAGAGTTAGCTTCAGTTGCACTTCATAAGGATTCACTTCAGTGGTTTAGCTAAAGGTCACATGCAGACAAAATACGTATAGAAATTCTCCCACTATATGAACAAGCAGCACAGGCCATCTGCTGCTTGCTGTAGTTTTGCTGTTGCCAACTCCGTCGCTCTGCCTGCTGGCTGCTCTGTTGCTGTTGCTGCTGCAGCAAAGGCGGGAACGTGAGATCCACTCTTTGCTGGAAAAGATTCCTGCGGATATGATTTCGCTGGACACAACACCGATAGGGACATACGACAAGAAACGCAAGGCTGCCCCAGTACTGCCGCCCGAACCGAATAAAGGTACACAGACGCTTCATAGCTGGGGCAGATCTCGAACGAAAAGCTAGTTAACCTCCATCTGCATTCGCGCAAATATTTTTTATTCCATTGATACAGACGTTATGTTGGCATTTGCATGTACATGGCCCATAAAGTTTCTCGACAGGGTGTGTTGTTGCGACGAAGCAGGAGCAGGGTTGCCTGGAAATAAATGCACTGCGCTAGTAAAAGCATAATTGTTTGTTCTTGTGTAGACGCTAAGAAACCAAAGAAACAGAAAAAGAAGCAGAGAGGAAGGGACGCAGCTGAGAAGAGAAGCAGGGTATGTGCCTGTGCCGTTCTTTTCTCAGCTTCCTCCTAGACATCGTATAAACTTCATCCTACTATTATTCGTCTCCTCCATGTTCCTTCTTCTTTGTGTGCGTTACTTTTCTTCGCTCTTTTCCGTCTGCTTTTATGGGATATGTCTCACTGTCTTGCATATGCTCCTTGTCCTTTCCTTTGCATCATTTTTCTGTATTCTGCCTCGTTCCGCAGTGTCCGTTTCTTCCCCTCTCCTTTCATGTCACTCTGATGCCCTTTTGAGCGCCACTGTCACTTTCCTTCTTTAACTCTGTTTCGTCTATATTTGTCTCCTTCCTCCTCCCGATTTTATTTTCATTAAGTGGTCTCTTACTTTATACTTTAGTCGTTTGACAAGAAGTGCGTGAAAGCAGCAAATGAAAAAAAGGAGTTAACGAATTTGTGTCGGGCCAGTCCGCTCGCTTACTTCTGTACAGAAAAACGAACGCGAGCAACTCATACAAAGAAGGCAGCTAACAGCTCTGCGGCTTTCAGCGGCAAGAAACAACAAGAATAACACGAGCGAGAAAAGGAAGGAAACAATCACAGGGGCCCTTGCTCGGTAAGGGGCTATTCACTATCTCAATTCTTTTCTGGTGTCCTTATTTTATCTTGTTTCGTTGCGTGCCTATGTTTCCTTTTACGTTTCTTCCTTGCATATTCATGTACTGTGTTTTTCCTCTTCTTTTCTGTCTTTTTTATTCCACTTTATAAATGCATTCGTTTCGAAGCACAGCTGTTGTCAGGAAGACAAAGCAAGGTAGTGTCTTCCTGTATTCTCTATTTTCCGTTTTTTGCACGTTTTCCTCATATTTCTCCTCATTTTATGGCATTGCATCGCCATGGAATTGTTTCTTCGTGAATTATTTTGTTTGATTTTTCCTGCTTCGTTTTCCGCCTTTCAGTTTCGTCAAGAAGTGAATTCACTGCGGCTCCAATCGGGAGTCCCCGCGACATCCCCTTACGCGGAAACGCACCTGCTCCTCCACAGGTCTTGCAACAGAAGCAGGTAGGAACGCGATTGCCTTGGTGGCTAGGTAGCACTTGGCTACCGCTGTGTAACATCGCTCGATGGCTAGACGTATCGGTGACTAGCATGCTGGCTAGCCAGCCTTCTTGGTGGCCAGCGGAAGTTTCTGTCCCATACAGTGGCGGCTTTATTTTGGTAGCTAGCTGCCTAGCTGGCTAGGTTGCAGCCTAGCAGCAAATTTACGGGGCACAGCTGCCAGTCGCAAGACAATTGAGCCGTAGGTGCAGGTAGCCTGCTCGCCAGGGCAGGCAGCGCAGCTGCTTGAGGAACAGATGGGAGAGGAACCCCGCAAGTGAATACGCAGAAAGCGGTCTTGTCTGTAATAATTTGCTCCATTGTCTTCTAGGAGTGTCTCTCTGCTTGTCTACACCTCGTGTTACTGCTCGTTGCCAGATCATGTTTGGATGGCCACATTCGTGTTCTAATGGAACAAGCAACTCCTAAGCAACTAATAAGGAGCCAACAGCATGTCTGTGCATCTACCCAGTAGCTCGGCACCCAGTTCGCTCGTTCCCAGTGCGGCTTGACTGTACTAAAGTAAAAAATTAAATGCAGCTAGCAGAGGCCGCTAGTTAAAATGAGAACAATTAAAAAGGGATGAGAGTATTCGCCACAACGGCAACGCTCAAGATGCCCCGGAAGGCGAGGAGGAATGGAACTTCAAATATCCAGCTAGCTAGATGGCTGACGATTTTTTCAGCCAACTAACTAGTTCAGTAGCCAGCTGGCTAATTCGCTAGCTCGATAGTTGATTAATCAGTCTGCTAGCTGACTAGCTAGCTAGGAGTCGAAGAAAGGGCTCGACTGGTCGCTATCGGTCCCTGCGGGGCTTGGGGACTGCTCGCTAAGCGCCGCTCCCCCAAATGGCAGCACGAGCGGGGACTGCTGCAGCGGCATCCTGAGGGACTGCTGCTGCCTCTTTTTTTGCTGCCGCTGCTGCTTCTGCTCCTCAACAGCTGCGGCTGCTCTCTTGGAAGGTGTCGACGAGACCTGCCAATAGAACCGAACGAGGGCGAAGCAACCACCACTGTACTATACCCTTGAATATCCACCTTAATCCTGAACTGCAAACATTAAATCCTAAGGTTGCAGTGGACTCACCTGCTCGTAGGCCTCCAGGACGAGGGCCACAAGGAGGTTCAGAAGAATAGTGTCCGTCAGGATATAAAAAGACACAAAGTATAAACTGCACTTCAGCACCGACGTGTGTTTCACCAAGGCCTGCGTACACGAAGCGTCAATCCAAAACTCTCGCGGGCTTGCGTTCTGCTACCCGTATAGCTGACTTGGGCAGAGAAGATCATATCGCCTTGCGCTGCAGATATAGCCGCAGTTGCAGCAGCTCCTTCAGCTGCAGTGCCTGCCCTTGTTCACTTTACCTTAAGGGAGTCGTCCCAGCCATTAACAGTCAGCAGAAACAGGGTAACTAAGGACGAGAACAGATCATTGAAATTCAACAACCCCAAGTCCATGGGGTCTCCCTCAGCCTCGGGCCCTGTGGCGTTTCCCGCTTGCCCCCCTTGCAGCTCGCACTCTATGAGACCTCTGAAAAGCTCCATACCAACCGTGGCGTAAGCGTAGAACAGCAGCAGCAAAACCTGAACAACGGTCTTCAAGCGACGTACCGCCCGCAGCAAACGCGTCACCTGCGCACACGTTCCGACACTTGCAGTACTACCCTGCACGCCCACTGCAGCTCTCTTTCGCTGCTGATGCTGCTGCCCACAGCAAATGCAGCTGCGAAAGCAACAATAGCTGCAGAGGCAGCAGCAACAGCAAGCGTATCCGTGGTGAAACTGCAGCAGCAGAAGCAGCAGCACCAGCGAAAGGAAGAATGGAAATTATTCTGTATATGGAAGGGTAACCAGAATTACCACTAATAGGGCCCACACCACCAGCTGCAACGGCATCAACAACAGCAGCAACGGCACCTGACCATATTTTTGAGTGGCTGAATCCTAAAGCCTATGCGGAGCCCTCTAAGGACTCTGGCGAAAGCGACGCCGCGCGATAGGTCGTCGACGAGACCCTCCGAAGCGTCCGAAGACAGAGACGGGGCAGCTCCAGCCAGCAAGCATGCAAGCTCCACCAGCAGGTGTACAGATACCCCACACAGGTCAAATCTACGGCGCATTCATCACATAATGCAATGTTTAAAAGAACACTTCATGAGAGGACACAGCGGAGATCAGCGCGGCTGTGGCGAATTCGCCGTACCCGCACATGGGCATATAAGTGTACACTCATGCGTGGAAGTGCAGGCGTCTTCACAAAACAATACATTTATAAATATATATATCTATATTATATATATAGATATATATATTTCACGCATGCATGCATACTTAAACGCTTACCTCATCATGCTAGTTTGTGCGAAGACAGCAATATATGAAAACATTCATATAATAGGCATGCAAACCGTGCAGCAAACAGTACAGCTTCTAGTCTGGTGCACCTCCACAGCCACGCTCAAGAAACTGCTAGCCGCACCTGCATGCAGTGCTGTGGCACTTGCTCCAAAAAGGCAAAACGACCAGAAGCAGCAGCTGGGGCCCCACTGGGCGCCTGCAACCTAAGGTCTCACTTGGCAACTGTGCTGAGGCGCCAGGGGCCCCTGTGTCTAAGCTCTATGGCCAGGAGTGTTCCCGCAGAAACAATGTAAATGGCACTTAGCAGCAGCTGCAGCCAGTAGCTCCGAGCATGGCAGAGGAAACAGGAAGTCGGCATCCCGTCGGCAGCCTCCTCCACAAGTGGCTCTCCCGTGAGGGTCGAGGCTGTCAGTATAAATTTTCGGGTCTGTTCAGCATAGGAATGCAATGCAAAAGACTATAGGCATCAACGGACAAAGTAGTCGGACAATACTGCGAAACACAAACATGAAAAGATTGTAGCTCCTCTATCTCCGTCGTGTCTGTACTTTTCTGAACCTCATCGTCTCCTTTCTGCCTATTGCGTCAAGTATAGTTGTGTCTCATCACTACCGTCTGTCTTCCTCCTTTGTTTTTGTCTTCGTGTGTTTGTTATCGTGTCTGTGTTTGTCTGTAGTGTACCTGTCTTTCTGCATGCCTGCCCGATACCTAAGTGCTTGAACATGTTTACTTATATGCAGCTTATTCATTTATTTTTGTATTATACGCCCTACTTGCAAAAATGTAACAACCATAGAAACAGCAACAGCAACATCAGCAGCCAAACTGAGAACTGAAAGAGAGGCCCCAGGCGACCGCCGCTTAGCGAACGCGCTTGCTGCTGTCACAGCTTTCTCTTTTTCTGCAGGCAGCAAGAAAATAGAGGACGCAAAGTGAATGCAGCAACTGGAAAAGGCCATGAGGACAAAGAAAGAGTCATGTGAGTAAAGCAACACACACAGTGGAAAAAGCAGGGGAAACCAATCCGACGGAGCCAGGCACACTGATACAGCCGCTGGTAGCCACCAATAAAAAAACGAGACACGACAATACACTGGAAGGCTATAAACCCTAAAGCTCCTCGTCTTCTTAAAGCCTCACCTAGAGCGAAAAGCGCAGCCGGTAGCCTTGCAAATTCCGCAGCGGAGATCTCCTCTGTTATTGTTGCTGCTGCAGTGGGCCCCTCTGTACCTGCCGCCGATTCTTGCAGCCATTGGAACGTGAAATGAGCCTCTGTCAGCACCTGGCGGTGGCGAAGAACCCAGGCTGGGGATTTCGAGTCTGGAATCCGTATCCCCCAAGCCCTCAGCAGTGCGTCAGTCTGCTTCTGCTCTTCCTGAGCTGCTGCTGCCGCTGCTGTTGACGCTGCAGATGCCGACAGCGGAGACATTTGAAGCAGCAAACGCGAAGCCTCGCTGCTGGCGTCATAATCCGATCCCCAGTCCTGGATACGACTCAGACCCGATCCCGATCCCGATCCCCAGTGCGGTATCCAATCTGCCTCTTCCCTGCCTTTGGGGCTGACAAGTGCAGCGGTACCAAGCCGCCTTTGCTCAATGCTGAAGCCGGCAACCTGTTCTTGTTGCTGCTGCTGCTGCTGCAGCAACTGCTGCTGCTGTTGCAACAACAGGAGCATCTGAGTCTCCTCCCGCGTCAAGGGCAAGAAAGAAACTGCGGGCAGGGCTGATAGGGCCCCATAAAAGCAACGCCACTCGCGGGGGCCCACACGGCCGCCGCCAGCGTCTTGAAGGAGCGAAAAAGCAGCAAGAAGGTAGCGAACTCGCAAAGCGGAGAGTTCAGACTGGTCCTGAGGTGTATGTATATCACAATGTGCACAGCCGAGATAATTACGCAGCGCGCAAAACAGAATTTAAAACTATAAATAGGCAGAAAAGACCAGAAGGACTAAGACATAGGAGAACAGCTAGACACAAATGATGGAGAGCCTAGGGCAGAACAGCAGAGAGGCAATGCACCGGCAAACGCAGACACGGACGAGCAAAGAGAGAGGCAGTAAGGGAGACAACAGCTGAAAAGAAGACCGCAGCAGCTTGATTATGTGCAGCTGCAGGAGCCACCACAGCAGCGACAGCATGAGCTGCAGCTGCTGCTACAGCAGCAGCAACGCACACAAGAGCGGACAGATAAGGAACTGCAAAACAGAAAGAGGCACGGGCATTGAGGGAAAGGCACAGATAGCAGTTTCAGAAAGAGGTCGAAGCAAGAAGACGGGGAAGCAAAGGGCGATAAAGACACGAGACAAAAATGGCCACTACAGGCACTGCAGGCGCACTGGTGTGCAAGGCTGGCAAAATGAGAAAGCAACAGGATTCCAAACGCAAGCAAACAAAAGAGAAGCACAACGAGGCCAATAAAACCAGCTAACCTTCTCTTCTTGTCTTCTAAAGGCGGAAAAAAAGGCAGCAGCGAAGAGACCCAGTAGCAGAGCCGTTATCAGATAGAACGCCACTACAAACAGCACGGCCGCCTCATGCACTGTATAGCCGCATAATAAGACCTGAGACGACCCGCAGACGCATAAGCTGCTGCAGCAGCTGCTGCTGCTTTCTCTGCTTCTACTGCTGGTGAGAACGTTGCTGCTCAGACTCAGGGACTTTGGCGAATGTTGTGTGGGAATGAAGATAGTGGATAATACCTTTGTACAAACAGGCAGCAACGATCAGGGCATTACAGGAGACAGACAGAGGTGGCAGAAACCGACAAAAAGAGTTAATGAGACACGCAGCGAAAAGAAACAAACAGAGTCACATCGCCGGAAAAGAAAAAGGGAAGAGTTTGATAGGCTGGGAGGCAAAGACGGAGAGGAAGACCCGCAGAACTGGTATGGACCCAAGGAGGCCTTCAGACACATAAAAGGAAAGGTCACCAAAACAGACAGAGACAGGCAAAAACAGGGGGCAGCAACGAGGCAAGAACGGCAAAGAAAGTCAAATAAAGGTAAAACATGAAGCACAAATAGGCAAAAAGAGACAAAAATGACAAAAAAGAGCCCCAGCTAGTGACCGCCTGGGCGGAAACTGCCTCACTGTAGAGACCAACAACAGCAGCGAGTCATGACCCCAAAAGCGAAAAAGAAGAAGACGAAGCGATAGACAGCGGGCAGTAGAGAGTGAGCAGCAAAGATCCAAGAGCCGCAACGCCGCAGCCACAGGCAAACGGCAAAGAGCCAGGAATAAGAGAGAAAAAGAAAGGAAAAAAATGGCCCCAGACCGACCTGCGGCAGCCGCACAGTGGTGACCACCAGCAGCAAAGAAACGCAGCCTCTTTGAAAGTTGTGAAACTGCTCGTGGCCATTTGTGCCTGCAAAAAGAATTACACCGAGCCAGTCGAAGAGGGCCACCGAGAGAAACAAAGCCAGCACTATGCTCCAAACCTGCGCGGCGCGAACAGCAGCAGCAGCAGCAGCAGCAGCCGCGGCAGCAGCAGCAAGCAGCTATGTGTCTGCAGTGAAACCAAACGGTCGCCAGGGATGCACACAAGCAGCTTGCGGGCTCCCTGTGGACTGTGGCCGGGGCTGGAGCGGTGAAAAATAAAGGCAGCAGAAGAGAAAAGGAAGAAAGTCAAAAGATGAGAAGAGATGAATTCAAAAAAGGATTGATAATACAGACGCAAGAGAGAAATGAGACGAGGCCAAAAAGCCCGCGAAGAGGAGAAGGCAGAAAACAGCCAAGGAAGAAAGCAGAAAATAAAAAGAACAGAAAGACAAAAAGACTAAAAGACTAAAACAGGAAAAGAGGAAAACGCTGCAGAGGCCACAGCAAGAAGTAAGGGAGGCCACGAAGGACAGAGAGAGAAGCAGAAATAAACAAAAGAAAAAGGAGATAAATAAATCACCGGGGGGAAAGAAAAGAAAAAACTGAGGGCCACAAAGAGTAAAGAAGGCACACAAAGCTCACAGGGCCAGCACACAGGCGCCGGGCCAAAAGCAGCAGAAACCCAGCGCGAACAGCACAAGCAGCAGCAGCAGCACAAGCAGCAGCAGCTGCTGTAGCAAAAGCAGCAGCAACGCAGGAACAGCACGAAGAGCTGAGGAAACGTCTTCATGGAAAAGGTGAGTGAAAAAAGCCCAAGATAGAGGCGCGAAAAGCGTGCCCGGAGCGGCCGCAGCAGCAGAAAGTCCAGCAGCAGCACGAGCAGCAGGAACCGAACATCAGCAGCAGCAGCAGCAGGAGAAGCAGCAGCAACACGGAACCAGCAGCAGACCTGAGGAAGCGTCTTGACGATTTTGAGCAGCAGCCTACGGACGGAGTGCTGCAGCCCGAGCAGCAGAAAAGGACGCGCGAGGCGTGTGGCTCTCCAGGCCCCACCAGCAGCAGCAGCAGCTGCTGCTGCTGCTGCTGGGGTATCCCCGAACAGCAGCAGGGCGTAGTCTGCTGCTGACACCACGCAGCAAGCCAGTGCTGCAGCAGGAACAGCAGCAGACCGCGAGCAGCCACGAGTCACTGCAGCAAGGAACGAACAGTAGCCCAAGAAGAAGACACAAAGCAGCGAAATAAACCACAGAGCCTTCCACCCGCCAGAAGCTGACAAAGGAGAGAGCCACTTCACGAATGCCCAGTAGCGCTGGCTGAAGCTGCTGCTGCTGCTGCTGCTGCTGCTGCTGCCGCCGCCGCCGCTGCCACTGCTGTTGCTGCTTCTGCTGCCACTGTTGCTGCTGCTGCTGCTGATGCTGGGGAAAGGGACGTAGCACTCTCCGGAGGACGCGTCGCAGTAGGGCCTTTCCTTCAGCCGCCTGCTGCGGGAGGACCTCGCCGGCTGCTGCAGCAGGAGCTGGGCAAGGTCGCCATGCTGGTACTGCTGCTGCTGCTGCTGCAGTGTGGTGGCATGTGAAGAATCTATAAGAGCCTCAATGAGGGAAAGGTGGGCCTCTGAGGCGAAGTCGGTAGCCGTGTGGGCCTCTACCAGCTCCTGGCGCTGATGGTGCTGTTGCTGCTGCTGCTGTTGCTGTTGCTGTTGCTGTTGTTGCTGCTGCTGTGATTGCTGTTGCTGCTGCTGCTGCTGGTGCTGCAGGTTGAACGTCTCAGGCGCAAAGAAAGGCAGCAGCAGATATAGCAGCAGCACCGCCGCTCTGTGCCTCCGCAGTCTCAGGGCCTCCCTGTACGCCCGCTGCCTCAGGGGGCCATTGAAGGCCCAGGGGGGCAGCCGCGGCTCCGCAGAGGCACCTGCAGCAGCCCGCACCCAGCAGGCTGCTGCCCCGCAGGAGAGGCCCTGCCGGTAGAGAGGGGGCCCCCCCATGGGTGGCCGCCCGGGGGGCCCCTCAGGCCCTGCAGAACTGAACCCAGGGGCGCCCCAGCGAAGACTAAACGAAGTAGAAGGGCGGCGCTGTCGCGAGCAGCTGGAGATACGGATAGAGACAAGAGATAGAGGCACAAAGAGATGGATATTCAGGTACGGCGAAGGGGACAGAGACAGAGGGAGGGAGAGAAGGAAAGAATACTGAACCCCAAAACAGGAAGATATAGGGATATGCCGGGTGTACAGACAGTGCTCGGGAAGAGCAGTGGGTCCTTCCGTTTGCTACTGTACTGCTGGGGAGGAGGGAGGCGCGCAGGGGAAGGCCCCCACTCAGGAAGGCTGCAGCTGTGTTCTTTTTGATATATACTTTTCTAATAATTAATGCAATTAAGGAACAAATACAAGAATTCCTCTAGACATAGGCCAGAGAGACAAGAGGGGCCCCTCGGGTCACGCGAGGGGCCCCCCAGACCGTGAGCAAACCCGCCTCTTCAGGGCCCTCAGCCTATCTGCTGCAGCAGTAGCCCTTACATCAAGAGAAGCAGCAGCATCAGCAGATATGAATGCCAAATTCTATGAGAAGCCTGCCCAGGGAACGCCACTCCCATCAAGCCGCAGCAGCAGTGTGCACTAGTCAAGACTTCTTCATTATACCGCAATGACCATACAGGTGTGGCTCATGTGCCGAAGCCAGTTTACCTCCAGAGTGGCACTGCTGAAACTCAAACGGCTTTATTGTGTTTAGCGAAGTTTCGCTTTTGTCTCAGTCAGATATTCTGTTGAGGCGTTCGCTGCCAGTCGTCTATGGAGAGGACGGCGTATGCGCCCTCTGAAAGAAACAGAAGGTCTAATTACGACGAGAACGGAGCTTAAAGTAAATTCGTTGCAACCAGTTTATCCTGAGTTTAGGAGGCCCTAAGCGCAATAAAAAGGTGCCTTCCAGGCGAAGTGAGCCGCGACTATCCAGTTGGCAACTCTCGCCGGTGTGAAAGAGCCTTGCCTAGTACCTAATTAACAGCCGGAGTTTGGAACCAGTGATATTCACACTGCAATACGATGTAGGCACTGCAGCGCACTGTGGCGAAGCTGCAGGACGAGGAAGGCAATCATGATCTTGGAGACTTCAAAGTATGCAATCACGCCTTTGCTTGTCCACAAAGTAGTCAGCGCGACCCAGCTAACATGTAGAAGTTTAGCAGAGAAGAGGGGCCCGTAATTGCTGTGTGACGATGTGCGCCAAGCAGGTGTGTTGGAGGGGAGCACGGAGAAACTTTACAAGACAACTAGACGCAGTATCGCTGGCTAGAACTCTTTTGAGTCAATATTGAGTCAGTATTTCGAAAGAATTTTAATCACTACGAGCAACTCAAAACTCCTGTTGCAAATAAAGCAACTGAAGGGATAGCGTTCCATTGTTTCAGTTGGGTCCCGCAGTTGTACGCCCCAGATAGCTTCCTACCGCTGTCTATATATTCCCACCCCATCAAAGCAACAAACAATAGGAGTTGGGGTAGTGTGCTTAGCTAACAACCTTCAGACCCATTTAGGGATGATCACAGCACTACGCTGCAACGATGCCTTCCCCCCACAAAGCTCTACAACCGGAATCTTCATTGTAGTGTACAGAAATACCTTGTTCACACTCCCCAGAACTTCAAAGCCCATCTAGCTAGTTCCCCTGTCCTCACCACAGAGTCCGATACTCCGATATCCGTGACTTGGACACCGTATTTGATAAACATGGTGGAAAACTCTGCCACAACGATAACGTGCTAGCTCTTCTGTTGTATCCCTCTAAATGAGGCTATGCGCTGCAGTTCGTGCACGCCCATTCCAGTCTGAGGAACCTCGATGAGCTGTGCTCTGGGCACAGACGGCAGCTGGAGAGGTGCAGAGGGGTTCCGTTCTAAACGTCTCTATTTATGGATCTCCCGGGGAGGAGGTACAGCACTGCAAACACTGCTGAACTCCACTGTCCGCCATATCAACCAGCATGCCTGACACATGCATAGAAATCACAGCTACGCTCAACTCCACTGTCCACCGTATCAACGGCTGACTCATTCATAGACAAATTTCCCTGAATAGTCCAAATAAACAAATTCCCCTGAATATTCCAAATTTAGCTGTACCCTCGGCAACAGGATCTACAGCTGCCATGACGCTTGTACTGCGTGCCTGCTGTGGCAGAGCTGGATACGAGATGCTGCTCACCACTCGACACTAAAAACGAAAATAAATCGTACACTAGACAGGGACTCGCAATGCGTCTCGTAATGCTTCTCAACGAACCAGCGAAATGTAAACTCCAACCTCTGACTGTTCTTCGTTTCCTCAGCGAAGGGGCTGACGCCACCTCGTGTACTTTTGCGGTCTCTTCTGTAGAATCTAACAGTTGCGTCAACTTTCCTTATTGCTTTTTAAAATCAAGTACGTTCGAGAAATGAGCACAAGCCGTGCTGTATCAACTAGCTGCATCCTACTATCGTATGTAACACTCACTGCATTTGAACGACGCAGGTACGGATGCAAACAGTCGAGATCTGTATTCGGCATGAAGCATGAACCCGTCACCACCTTCAGGCAGCTTCCGAACCTCGTTACAACGCAAAGCACCTAAAGAAAGGTTCTACCCGCTTCACTAAAGGATGGACAAAATTAGCTCTTGCTGGCGTCACATACTGTTGGTGACGTAGCATATTTTGAACAAAACACCATCCATTCATCTACGGAGATTCAAAACAACATAATCACAGCCTGAGGCCGACATCAGCAGGAATTATAAAAGAGCAACCATACTGTGGACAAACATTGAAGGCTGCGCCACATCTGGCCCTCACTGCGTGACGCCCTCTAACCAGCTGCGTAGCAAACGACAGCCAGACTTCATATTCGATACAACGGGGCATAAGCTCTTTAAAGCTTTCGAGTACCAGAACAGCTGAGCATTCCACAACAACGCCTTACATGTCGGAAGCAGTACGCGGCATATTCGTACTTGGCCCGTACAATTTTCCTTTTCGCGAGTCGGGTCGGTTTACTCATCTTTCTTTGAAGAAGAGCGTAAAGCAGATTCACTAGGAGACGTGGCTGCGGAGGGATAGACACACGAGGACAAGTGAACATGGCCCTATCCACATGACTAGCTTCCACGGAAAACAGGCAATTTGTGGTCCAAATCTTTTCAAGAGGGTGATCCTGGGCTCAACTGAAACTCCAAGGGCTTCCCCATGTATCAGCCACACATGCAACAGGCGAATCGTCCCTACAAAACTTACCATAGACCTTAATCAGGATTTCCCCCGTGCTCGGCCCTTGCGGCTTCGGGATTACAAAACCCAAAGGAACTGTTCCCCCGTCCGGAACTGCATTGAAAGCACAGTCACTAAGTCACCTGCCTTAATTTCCTGTCCAGAGCAAGGGTCCGTGGAGCTCGCCCAAAATGCGCATATACGGAATTTAAGATGATGAGGCCGCAGCACGGAACTGGGTGGCACCTCGTCATATGATGAAGCCCTCGAATGGAGCCTAGTGTTGCACCTACCTTTCCCTGAAAGTTCCACTGCTTTCATGCAATTAGTCAGCATTTCTGCGCCCAGGACTATTACATCACGCCGGAACTGAATACGCAAACGAACAAGTCACCGAGCGCATTTCTGTGGCGCGCCAGCAACCTCAGCTGCTGTTCCGGTGGAACGGCTCTTGTAAAGCGGGCAAGGGACGGCTTGCCTGACATGACTCTGATTGTAGAGGTTCTCTCTTGAAAAGACAGACGCAATTTGACCTAAAATTCCTGTGCCTTTGTTGCTCTGTAGGCAAACACACAAACACAAACACGCGTAACCACTGTCCTCCACGTATAACTACTGTCTTCGCTGCATAACTAACTCGTTCGCTTTCAAAGGAGTACTTCAAATCCAACCTCATCCATTTGAACACAACTTTGTGGGAAACCAGATTGAGGGCTTAGCAAGAACAGAGACGCTGTATAACCGTACACTTACCAATTCACACAATTCAACGTGTAAATGAACATCATCCCCTGTTGGGGCTGTCCACTCTGTCACGAATAAACCTGCAAAGGCCACATAATGCCAGTACAACCTTGCGGCAAGCTAAATATAGGCCCGCACTTTAAGAGCTCGCTCACGTGCGTATGGAGAGTTGCATTCAAGTTGCACTCGTAAGTACTGTCCTGGCAATGCTTAGTACCTGGAAGGACTGTCCAAAGAGACTTACTGGTATTCATTCCTCCGTGAGCCATGCAGGAACACACTGCAGCTTCTCCAAGCCTTCGAGTAATTTCCCGTATTCTATCTCCCATCTGCGATGTGCACAGCACGAAGGAATCTGCCGTCGCGTTCATTCGATCTTAAAAACTTTCAAAAGATAGTGGGCACACCACCCAACTGAAGTGTTCTAGGCAAACCGGATGCAGCATAACTTTATCTATAAGCGCCGTTTGCACCCGAGGCTGTGAAGCTGCGTGAAAGACCTTTTGAACGTACTTCCCCTCCAATGTCTATGAAAGGATTTTCCAAAGTGAAGCCGAGCTGGTGTGGTGCCCATGGGTATCCAAGTTCAAGCACAGTTTGGTGTTGGACCCAGCCCATACCGCCGTGGCCGACAACGGCTGAAACATCACTGGCCTTTCTATCAGCTGATGCAGAACTGGCACCTCTATCAGCTGATGCAGAACTGGCCCCCCTATCAGCTGATGCAGAACTGGCCCCTCTATCAGCTGATGCAGAGCTGGGCCCTTCTTCAGCAGAGGCGAAAGTGGCCCCTCCTTCAGTAGATGCAGAAGATGCCGTAGAAGCCACTCGCCGAAGCGGCTCATACGAACGTTTTCCCCCGTACACGGAAGCCATTCCTTCTGTGAGTCTTCCAGTCCAGAGCTTCCATCGGCTCACTGGGCTTCGTCTACGGGGAGTATCCGAAGCCTCGTCGTCACTGGACTCGCAGCTTTCCTGAAAGGCAAGGTAACAAGGTGCAGGGTAATATAGGCAAAAGAGCTTCTGACTTAGTGCAGAAGTCTGCGTTTGCGCCCCGCACTCGCACTGTACGAAGAACTCTACCAAACCTACATGAGATAAAAGCGTCTTCCACGCGTCGCCTCCGTCGCCGCTCGAAAGCGCCCGCGAAGACCTCGACAGATTTACTTGCAAGTGGAAAGCGCATTTCAGAAGCAAAAAAGCAACGGATGCAGATACTGCGAGCGCTATAAAAAGAGGCCAAATGGCTGGCTGGCGTCGTGCACGCCGTTTCCGCAGTGCTCCCTGCTCATAAACGTGACCGGCAGAAGTCGGCGGATCCAGCCCCAGCTTCGTAATCATTTCATAATCCCCATCCAGGTCCACCTTGGTTCCCATTATTGCACCCTGAGGCATAGCGAACTTCGCGTTCAGTAGGGAGTTAATCATCAACGCCAGCCAAAAACCTGAGTGGTGCTTCCGTCATAACAATGATTTCGAAACAATAATGAAGCCCAACACTGACTGTACGACGCCACTCCCTCCACTAATGGACTACCGGCAATCTGTTCTTATTTCAGATGCGCCAGCGGGCGATTTGTGAAACTCCACAGCAGGAGGACATTGAGAACACCAAATCGAAGCGCAAAGTGAGCAAGAAACACCACCCCTACATCCTCAAAACAGATACTTGCCTCTAAATTAGGCGAATGCGCTGGCCGTGAGCTTTGACTTTTCAGTCTTATTTTGCTCGTTGCTGCTTCAGCGGAGGTCGAATAAATTGCAGCTACGCCGAGCGCCTGAAACGCTCTTACCGCAAGCCTAGGCCAGCCACCAACACCTGTCGCAAGAAAAAATAATTTATTGCAACGGCAAAACCTATTTAAGCTTGTCTGATGCGAATAAAGCGCATCAAGCTCCAGGCAATCCAAGACAAGCGTGCGCAAGGGCGTCCTGATATGCGACGGGGCCTCGCGTCGCTCACGCACTGCATGGGCAGTCCATCGCCGAGCAACAGTGATATTGCATCTGAATTTAGTCTAAATATACGGAAAATAAGACTAAGGGCATGGCATGCCATTGCTGGTGTTTATTTCGTACGTTTGTTTCTTTGATCTCCCCTACCCCAGCTAACTAGGGTGCCTTGTGGGCAGCGATCAGTGTTCCTTTCGTTCCCCTCAGGATTCGCCAGTTCTACCAAGCACTTGGTCAGTGTAAATAGAAAAGTAAAATTCTTAATTAGCATTAGAGTCTACATAGGATCTCCGTAAAGCCTCAGACGAGCTCGAGCAGTGGAGCATTTGCCTTCCAGAGTTGCTGCCTACGTAGAGTGCGAAAAATGTGCATGAAATTTAGGGGAGAGCTCTGTTTCATGCGGCTTAATACAAATTCAGTGTCTTTTCATTAGCAGTTAGCGTAATCGGAAGGAAGGATTCTCTCAGGCGCTCGTGGATCGCCGCCTACTGACCAGGTGTGTTCGGGGGTTGCCTGTGGAGCAGCCTTTGGGTCTGGACTTTTCCCCTCTGAAAACCTATACTCTCGTCGCGGCATTTGACGCAATTGTAATATTTAGAAGCATTGCGTGTATGCTTCTGGTTGCTGGCGGTGTTCACGCCCAACTGGTGCATTGGCCAGGGAGCAATGCATGGAAGCACAGCGGGCTAGCGCCTTGTTGAAGTGCTTAAGGCAGTACATACAGTACGTTAGCAATCTTTTAAGGGCAATTTATGCCCTGGTAGTAACAACTGGCTTTTTTTGTCAGCCCGACGCGTTGTTTCCTGCTGTGGGGGATGGCGCTTGGCTATCAAAGGCCAGGAACAAATCATGTGGACCTCTACGAGCCACAGGCGCATTTCCTATCACACAAAGGCCAATTGTGGTGGAAAATTTCAGTGCAGCGGAGTTGGTGAATCCCTTGCACAGGTAGCTTTGAATTGGTCGCCTTGGCTTCCCGCGTCTCTGAAGTTGAAGGATGGATTCGTGTCTGGGTGAACATGGCATTTAAATCAGCGTTTAGCGGCAGCTGTGTCTTAGAAAAATCTTAAATTCCTTTTTTAACTTTTTATTCGGCTTAACTAGCAGTCGGGAGCGCTTAAGATAGGTTCCCGAACCCGGGCTGCCTTGAGGCCCACAAGGCTACTGAGCACGGACTTGGCTATAAGGTCACTGAGCAACAAAAGAAGGAAGAGCGAGAAATAACAGACGCAAATGAAGAGTGAAAGACAATGAGACGCATAGAAAGGCGCACAGCGAGGCAGGAGTGGCAAATGCGCACAAAGAAATTCAAAAGATCGGCAGAGAACACGAAGCAACAAGACGAAGGGGTCAACGGGGGACATGCATACAAAGAGAAAAGTTTCAGCAAACATGCACACGACACAAATATAAGGAAGAAATGGCACAAGCGGCAATAGACAGGCCATAGCGACATAGAACAGAGAGGAAGTGCAGTAACCCACAAAAAGGCGCCCGTACAGCCACTGACAACCTGGGGCTTAGGACTCATTGTATCCTCCAGAGGCTTCCAGCTTCCCGTCTAAGCGAGGATAGGGGTCTTTTTCCTTTTCTCTTGCTCGTCTGCCGGTTGCAAACCCTAGCGCCTGCAACAAAGCTAAATTATACTCGAAAGCAACGCTAAAGCACCGTCAGACTAGTAAATAATGCTAAGGAAGGGGGTCCGTGCGTGCCCCCACAGGCTCCACTTCAAAACATATCCTTGCTGGGAAGCTCTTCAAAACGTATCCTTGCTGGGAAGCTGCTGCTGCAGGCACCCTGTCCTAGAATCCACTCGAGTTCCTACAGCGCAGCCTGTGCATGCAGATCTCTGGCATTCTGACACTTTGCCTGCAGCCATCCCCCAATTCTTTGTTGTCTAGTTGACAGGAACACTAACTGTACTAACTTGCTAATGGCAACAACGCCGTAACAGTGACGCCAATAAAAAAGATGAAGGCGTTGGCGAGAAACCCCACATCTCCTGCATGCAGGGGAAAAGCACCGATCTCACTGGCCGCGGCATAGATACACCTCAGCCTCAGGTGCGCAAAAACACACAAAAGCCAGTGCCAACCCTAGGAGTTTAATCGCCTTGCGCCTTCACAGTAAACTCGTTGCCCGCAGCCAGATCCGCAGCTTCGTCGCCAGGCAGCTGGCCTCGCTAGTGCTGGCCAAACAGATTCTGAGCCTGTTAACTGCACTGAGTCCCACTGCGGCGAAGCTGCTTCGGCTTCCCAAAGATAAGCTCTTACTCATCCCATGAGCCTCGCTGCCCGCACGTACTTAACCCCAGGCACTTCTCGGAGCCCGCTGGCGGGGGAACATACTTAAGGGGCCCCTTGGGAGCCCGCTTAATTGCAGCCTGCAAGGCCTGGGAGAATCAATGGGCATGCAGTGCAGCTCACAGAGGCATTCTGCTGAAGACATCCCTCGCTGCCTGCTGGCGTTGCAGCTGCACAGCAGTTGCACTCAACGAGCACACTGTGCAAAAAAAGTGACATTACAACTATAAAACCATTTGGACAAGCGAGTCGAAACCCTTTACTGCAAGGACAGGAAAAGAAGCTGCAGAAACTGGGGTTGCTGCTGCTTCTGCATCCGCCATGGCAGCTTTGCTGCGACGCGCCCGCTGCTCCCTAGCTCCGCGGGCAGTTAGCGCAGCAGCAGCAGCAGCTGCTGCAGTTTTCATGCGTTTCCCTCCGCATCAGCAGCTGTACATGCAGTGCGCAAGGTCACTAGCCAGCAGCAAGAGCAGCAGGAGGAGGAGCAGCAGCCGCAGCAATCGCACACGCTGACGTTGTGGCTACCTGAGTGCCCGTTCCTGTATTGCCATTTGCCTGAGAAGCGCGAGTTTGTCCTCTTGCGCCTTTCTTCTTTGCTGCAGCAAAAGGCACTGCTGCTGTTGCTGCTGCTGCTGCTGCAGCAGCATGTGGATGTTCTGCAGCGTGCCCTGCCAGCCGCCGGGCGGTGACTGCCAACACCAGCTGCGAGGGCGGGGTCCCTGGCTGTAGGTGAGGATTTGGCGGGACCTCTGCAGCAGCTCTCTGGAGTACATTCTGTGGCGGTTTCCTTCCTTCTTCTTGGCATGCTGCGGCTTCTGAGTGGCCTGCTGCTGCTGCTGCTGCTGCTGCGGCTGCTCCTTGCCCCTGCGGCCCTGCTGCTCCCACGTGTAACTGTCAAAAAGAGCCCCCAGCGGCAGCCCCCGCCGTCCCGCTGCCTCCACTTCCAAGTTGCCGCTGCTCGTGATGAGGAGCGCGCGCAGCAGCTCTGTGGCAGTGATGGAGTCCGTGTGGTCCTGGCAGCCTACGGAAACCAGCAGCAGCAGCAGCAGCAGTAGCAGCGGCCGCAGACGCATGAAGCGCAGCACCACCGACAGCAGCCAGCCCCTGAGCAGCGGCCAGCGCCCCGCAAGGGTGCAGGTGCGCGCTGTTGCCGCAACCGCCCACCGCGCAGCAGCAGAAGCAGCAGCAGCAGCAGCAGGAGCGGGAGCGGGAGCAGCAGCAGCAGCAGGAGGAGCAGCAGGTGGCGCACCGAGGATTCTGTGGGGCTCGAAGGGGTCGATGATTGTCAAGAAGAGGCGCCTGCTGAGCCACCTGGCGGACCTGCCGTTGGCCAGCAAGGACTCGAAGCTGTCGTCTTCTGCTGGAGAGCCCTCAGGCGCTGCCGCAGCGTCGCGCCAGGCCGTCTGCGGCCACGGCAGCGAAGACTTGGGAAATGGCGGCGAGCTGAACTGCTCCGCCTTCGCAGTGGGAAACAGCGACAAGTCCTTTATGTTCAGCGCGAAGCTCGCGCCGTTGAACTGCACCGTGTAAAACCTGCGCGCCCCAAACCCCAAACCCTAAACCCTAAACCCTCGGCCGCAAACCCCAGCCTCCGAGCCCAAACCCTACACCCTACACCCTGAAGCGGAAACCCCAGGATCGGAGCCCCAAACCCTAACTCTTAAGCGGAAACCCCAGGCTCTGACCCGCAAACCCTAAACCCCAAACCCTAAAGCGGGAACTCAGGTTCTGAGCCCGAAACCCAAACCCTAAGCTCCACACCCTCAACTCCAGGCTCTGACACCGAAGCCCCAGACCCTGAACCTGAAACCCTAAACCCTAAACCCTCGTAGGCCCTAGACCCTTGCTGCGGAGCTTTTTGCCTGCACTTTTAGCTGCTTGTGTCCAGCTCAAACCCCCGAAACCCCAGCCCCAGACACCCAGACACCCAGCCTCATCTCCCCAAACCCTACCTGAAAAAGGCCCGCAGCAGATCCAGCAGCCGCGGCCGCGGGCCCTGCAGCAGCACAACAGCCCCCAAGACAGCAGCAAGCTGCTTCCGCAGCTCTGGGGAGTTGGGGCTGGCCGGAAGCTCCGGGTGGGCAAAGACAATGGCCTTAGAGGCCTGCCTGAGCTTCTGGAGGGCCTGTGCAGCTGTTGCTGCTGAGGGCAGCTGCCCCAGGCCGTGGCCGTAGCCGCTCATGCGAAACGCTGCAGCAGTTGCTGCTGCTGCTGCTGCTGCTGCGCTCGCCATCAGCAAGTGCCGGCTGTAAGCCTCGGCCGACAAACCCTCCAGGTCCTCGGGCCACTTGCACCCGCCGCAGCCGCTCCAAGGCCCACACCGGCACATCTCGCTGTTGATGCCGTCGCTGCTGCTGCTGCTGCTGCTGCTGTCACTGCTGCTGCTGCTGCTGTCGCTGCGAGCCACAGATACGTAAATGGAAGACAAATGCTTGTTGAGTCCCCTCTCCGGGTCAATAAAATACACATCTGACGCAGGGTCCTCGGGCAGGGCATTCAAAGGGTACGGGATTAAGCCCCCGCACGCGGCGCAGCGTTTCTGCTGCTGCTGCTGCTGCTGCTCCTGCTCCCCCGCGTGCTGCTGCTGCTGCTCCTCCTCCTGCTCGTGCTGCGGCAGTCGCAGCTGGAAATTCGGAAGCACAGGCAGCCACGTGGGGTCCCCCAGGGCCCAGTAAATGTCAAGCAGCTGCTGCCAAGTCCCTTGCTGGTCGGGAGAGCAATTCAGCTGGTGCTGCTTCTGCTCCGGCAGCAGCTCCAGCTGCTGCTGCTGGGGCTGAAAGAGACAACGCTGCAGGAAATAGACCCCTGCCAGCTGCCAGGAGTAGCTGTTAGTGAAGCCCTTGGCCCCGTCACTGCGAAGAAGAAGCACAGCAAGCCGCAGCAGCAGGCGCTGCAGCAAAGGCAGCAAAGCTAGCCAGCAGCAGCAGCAAAAGCGGACACAGCAACAGCCGACTGCCGAGCCTCCCGCAGCACCAGCCGCTTCCCAAGCTCACTCGCACGCACGCGTAGCAGCAGCGCCGCACTTGCAATTGATGCAGCAACAGCAGCAACAGCAGGAAAAGAAGCAGCAGCAGCAGCAGCAACCTACCCCACGTCTCTCCTTTTCACCCAGTACTTCAGCAGCCTCAAGAACTGTTGCACCTCTGGGCCGCAGCCAACACTGTAGGCCCTCATGAGCCTCGAGTTGTGGAGGGGGCCCACGTGGTTGAAGGTGAGGTCGCATTCGCCGAAGGAGATAAGAGGCACCACGCGGCGCTGCTGCTGCTGCTGCTGCTGCTGCTGCTGTGGATCGCTGCCGCTGCTGCTGCGGTGCTGCTGGTGGTAGTGGTCGCCGCAGGCCGCGTCTGCCGCCGCTGCTGCAGCAACTTCGAAGGAGAAGCTCCTCACTGTGCTGGGCGCCATTGAATCCGAGCAGTAGCCGTCTTGCAGCCACGGGATCTCTACAGCAGCAGCAGCAGCAGCTGGAACAACTGCAGCAGCACGTGATGCTGCTGTCTCCGCCGTGGGCCGCCCGCGGAGGAACGGGAACCGCCAGTTCCTCTACATCAGCAGCAACAATACAGCAGCAGCACAGCAGCAGCACCATAAGCAGCAGCAAGGATCAGGCGACCCCACAACTGGGCGTTCCTTCCCCCTTTTCCACAGCAGCAGCAGCAGCAGCGGAGGCAACGAGCGTAGGCTACTCCCGCACAGCCAGCGACAGCAGCAACAGCCGCAGCAGCAGCCGCAGCAGCTGCAGCAGCCGCAGCTGCAGCACCTGCAGCAGCAGCAGCTCACGCGTTTGATGGTGTTTGTGAGCCTAGTCTCGACAGCAGTAAAAGGCAGCCGACAAAGGCTGTTGCTGCGGGCGGGCGTTGTCCCGCAGTGGCGTTTTGCTGCTGCTTCTGCTGCGCTGCTGCTGCTGCTGCTGCTGCTGTCGAGCTCCGCGTCACTCTCCGCGCCCGAGGGGTGGGGACCCCTCAGGGCAGGCCATTTGATTCGAACAAGAGGAAATCTGGCAAGTTCAGAAAAGCTAACTTGGGGGCCCCCCAGCAGCTCCTGCTGCATGCAGAAGGGGGGCCCCAGCCGCAGCAGCAGCCGCTCAGCAGCACAGGCCATTTGCCGGCCTGCAACAATAGAGGAGAAGCGGAGAACAGCTTCTTTGTTGTCCGCAGCAGCAGGCAGGTCTGCTTCCGCCTCCTCAGCTGCTGCTGCTTCTGCTGCTGCTGCTGCTGCGTCTTCTGCCTCCGATGCGTTATCGCTCTCGTCTGCTGCGTCGCTCGGGACGCCCAGCTGCTCCTCCTCGCGCGCTTCCTCTTGCTGCTGCTCTTCCTGTTGCTGCTCTTCCTGTTGCTGCTCTTCCTGCTGCTGCTCTTCCTGC